ATAACATAACATATATAACAGTTATATAACATATATAACATAACATAACATAACATAACATAACATATATAACAGTTATAACATATATAACACACATAACAGTTCAACAGTATTAACTGCAAAGCAACTGCTTTGAGCTTTGTTTGGCATTTTCTGCACTTGTTTCTTGGTCCAGTTAAACCCTGCCTTGTTCCATATCTGCCTCACTGACAGGCAGTGACATCTGCACATGGCATTGAACAGGAACTCGGTGCATCCATGGAGAAACTCAAGGAGACTGAAGTCACTAACAGGGACAAGAGTAACGAGTGTTTTGACAGGAGATTGCTGATGTGAGTGTGGGAGAAAAGAAAGGTCTGCAGAAACTCCATCCGAGGMAAACCAGGCAGCTGGAAGGCAGGGGGGTGGCTGCACCCGTACCTGGGGGGACTCGTGGGGATCGCAGCGAGCACAGGGACCCTCCCGGCTCCTTCCCGGAGCTCCCTGCCCATCACCCCCACCAGGCGAGGGGATTAAACACCGCCCGCTGCCCGGGAGAGGGCACTGCTGCCCTGCTTTTCAGACAACACAACTCCTGCTTTCCTAATGAAGGGAAAAAGCCATTCCAGGCCAGTCTGAAAGCAAAGCACCGCGGAGACCCCATTTGGTACTCAGAAATCACTCGGGTGATCAGAGACCGCTCGAGTGATTCTGCTGCACCCTAAGGAGGGGTTTGGAGCATCATCGGCTCTAATGGCAGCAGCTCCCTCTCCCACGTGTAAAGGGAGCACTGCACAGCCAAACACGTTCAACACAACAGAAATAGGTTGCTTCCCTTACAAAATTAARAATAAAAGAACAATCAGCAACTAAAATGTCCAGACTTGGGAAAGCAGAGAGATCACAGAGCTAAAGTGCTGAAATACCAGAATCAAGTGCTTGAAAKGGTACAATTTAGAAATTAGTTTTTACAACTAAAATGGAAAAGAACCATTTGACACTCGTGTGTAACTTGCCTGCTGAACTGATCTGTACAGCAGCACTTTTGTCTGAGGCAAACTGTGTAACTGATGTAGCACTTTCCCTCCTGCACCAAAGGACAACCTTTTCATTAGCAAAATATATGTTTATTTTTAAAAAGGCAGAATATTTCCACTTCATGAAAGCTGTAAGATTGCTTAAGTGGGGAAATTTATTACACAATACAGGTGCTCGGTACAGCCAGTAAGAATKAACTGCTTTGCATAACAAGAATTCCCATAGGAAACGTAATGAGCATAACAATGTATATCAGAAACAAAAGGGTGCACTTAAGAAGAAGACTAGAAACTGAAGTATAAAAAGTGRAAGAGTAAACCAGTTTTGTCGCACTTTCTCTAAAAGTAATCATTTGAATTCTGAGACAAAGGCAGAGAAAAATATATATATAAATTTTTGTACAACTTTTAAAAAGCATACACAGGACTGAAGTAGGAAAATGTAACAAAAGAGAGACCAAATGTCATATTTTGATGTACCAATACCATCTGAGGTCTTTACATTTTTGTCTCTTTTTGTTAGGCCAGAGTAACAATCACAAAATATTAAAGACTTCATGTACCRCATCTTGGGCTCAAAAGTACATCCCTATTGTGAGGAAACCTTACTGAGATACACCAACCTGGGCTAAGAGTGCATTTGTTATCCAAGAAGCTCACTTTCCTCAGGTATATTTCAAGTCTGAAACSATCTCCCCTCCATATTACCCAAGCTATCTCAAAGAGCTTGTATTAAAGACTTCCTTGTTCCCTCTTACTGAAACCAAGAGGGAATGTTATTAACAGCTAAAGGAAGTTGTGATTGATTCTTGGTCTGCAGCTAAAAAGRATTTATTGATTATTATTGATTTTCTTCAATGTTCCTCAGCAAAGCAGCTCAGTAAGTACCTATAGATGCTGAGATTCCCCAAAAGAATCTTTGGTACACTGTGTTCAGACGGCTCACAAACAGGCTTTTACTACCTGCTGCCTTTCTTTTTTAACATCTTTGAGTTTTTCCTTGGTTCAGTCTCCCCTTCATGTGAACTCTGTGACAAMTCTCTGAAAGAATAAACAAGAGAAAAAAAAACCAAAATCGCAGACAGTTTTTTAAATGCTATACTCCCCTCTGAAACTAAATTAATTTTGGTAAAAGAAAGGCACTTGCCGTATAACTTCTGCACACTGTTTCAGCTGCCTCTGTTGAGGCTGCCAAAACAAAGTTGCAACAAGATAAACGTTCCTTTGTTGGGTCCCTTTTCCCTGCACAYGTATCCCTTGCTGGCTGTGGGAAAGGAGTGTGTGAAAAGGGCTGATGCCATCAGGGAAAGGAGCCATCTCCTCGAGTCAGTCCCAGGCTGAGGTCACTCAGGGGATAAATACTTTTCCCCAAAGGCCTGTGGCTCCTGAGAACCAACTGTTTGCTTTGCCTGTCAGCGGGATTTTCTCTGCTCAATATATCAAGCCCCAGTGACCAGCTGGCTGGTTTGATCTGCCCGTACTGATCAGCTGGCATCTTTCAGGTTTGTAGCCGTTTCTTCTCCCCTAGTTAGCACCCCAGCACAAGCCAACTGAAACATCTATCAAGAAAATCATTGTTAGAGCTGCTACCCTCATCAGCCAAAGACTGGCGCTTGCCTTTGTTCCTCAAATAAAGATGGAAGTTGAAAGCCTAAATACCACAGACCATATTTTGGTTGCTACATTTCAGCCTAGTTCCATTGAATTCACTTGTCTCTGCTGATTTATGCTGTCTGTGACTCAGGTTTAAAAAAAAACTAAATAAAAGAAATTTGGAAACAGTATTYCTCATTTTTCTGCCTTTAATCARTTAGTTATAAAATACACAGCAGCACAGACAAGCAAACACAGATGAATTTYGTAACTTTAAAAAAGATTAAGGGGGAAAAAGGTTAAGTACCTGTGAGAAGTAAATATTAAGGAASCTCAGCTAGTGTAGGCATTATGTTTTGAGTTTGATTGACATATCTCCTTATGAAGTASAGTTTGCAGTTCTTATATTAAAAAAGGGATTTTTTTAATAAATAACTTTTCACATATCATATTTTTAGTTTCTAATGTACCTGCATAAGTCAGAAGTCATTCCGTGGGACTGTTGAATATTTTCATGAGAATCATCTTTTTCTGCTGATCTGGGTGACTGAAAGGTCTGTCTTTTGGAATTTGTTTTTTCACCTGAATTGCCAAATGCATGCGAATTAGAAAAAAAAAAAAAGAATCACACATAGCAGAGCTTGTTTGGTTTTGATTAACCTAATGCAAAAAAATACACTCTAACACTTCATACATACCTATTATTATGCCAAGGAAATCACTCCACTTTACATCAGACTAGCATAATGCTTTTTTTACCACTGGTTAACTCTGGTATGTTAATTGCAAAATCTGCACTGATACGTGGAATTATGTGGGTTTTTTTAAACCATTCAGGAGAATACAAACCTGCTGCCTTGCTCCTTTTGGAAGGCTTCTTCACRGTCACTGGAACTCGGGTCAGCACAGCCAACTCACTCACAAAGTCCTGCTCTGCTTCCTGTGTGCAAGGACAAAGCAGCAAACCCTCAACACAGCTCAGTTCTGGGTTATGTTATTCTACATGTGGCATGACAACAGGCCTGTCACTGCAGAAACACAGGAAACTACATGGCCAGCATCAGGGAAATGTTCCTAAAGACAGCAGTGAATCCTAGCACTGATTTCAACTAGAGCAGCAAAGAGTCACTTATAGTCTGTCCCGTGTTTTGCCATTGAATGCTTCAGACCCATGAACCATTTTCCCCTGATTTACCCTCAGCTGATTCTCCAACTCAGTTTCCAGGCAATGCAATCCCAGCAGCTTCTGTTTCAGAGACTCCAGACGAGTTTGTTGCTGTAGTTCAAACTGAGCCAAAATCTTCTTTTGCTGTAGCACTATCCTGGTCAAGAGAAATGTCAATGTGAAGATGTTGTTCTGTGCAAGGGAGGAACACAATCCTGCCAAAGTCTATGCAGAAGATTTTGTAGAGAGAAAGGCTCATTAACAGTATTGGCCCAGCCAGCTCCTGCTGGGACAGAAAATTTTGKGGTAGATTTTTAGATTCACTTATTTTAATAACCCACCTTGGCTGCCCATAGGATACAAGGTCCTTTTGGAAATAGGAATTACAAGAGCTTGGAGGTCCATGCCTGGACTTTGGGAGCTGGAATTCAGCTTCTAAGTAGAAGTCTRCTTTCAAAACCATTGTATGTTTCTAGGGACAGCTTTACTGTGTGCTTGCCAAAGGGACAAGCTGTTCACAGATCAGGTGTGAGGATAAAGGATTAAGAATTAGGCATTTCATTAGGGCTCTTCAGTACCAGACTGAGCCAGAAACATGGTCATTCAAAACTTGGCAATTGAAAGCATTAACAACTGTATTCCTTATGTGTTTTACTTCTCTGGTTAAGGATTATTATTAATACAGTACAACCTGAATGSCTGCAAGTTTGCTGCATCTATATTTCTTCCGTTTTCTTGCCTGATCTTGCCTTAAGCAATGCTGCCAATCACCCATCAAATTCCTCAGGGAATGAGGCAAAACTAATTGTTTCTGACATTTGCACTGAATGAAGCTGCTGTTGTAATGGTCACTGCTTACACAGGTTACCTTCAAAATTTGCTTTTTGAACTCACACTCTTAACCTTGCATTAAGGGTGAAAAGAAATATAACAATAAAACAAACAATATCAAATTTATAGGAGTTAGACAAATTAATGTAAACTTTGTCATTAATTTACAAAGGACTGGACCATAAAAGAAATTGAAATGGCAATAGAATAACAGGTTTGATTACTGATGGTTATGAGATCAGATTAGATGCTGAATAGTTACATTCCTCAATACCACACTTCTGCTTGTGAGAAGGCAAATGTAATTGTACTTTGTTTTAACATACTATAATAGATTATGAGAGCAAAAAATAAGACAACAGATAGAAGTGAATTCATGTGTCAGAATAAATTATWAATTTGATAATGAATAACTAACAGATCTTTTATGAAACCCTTWATTACATAAATCCACTTCTATAACTAATTCAAATAGGGATGAAAAAGAGGGCAATGATTTCTTTCAATTKAGAAGAAGCAGAATGTCTAAAGAAAGATTTAACCATTTTACAATGTCAAAATTGAAGATGTTGTATTTTTGTGGATTAAGAAGTCAAGAGATGAAATTATTACAAGAATGTATCATGTACATGACAAGCCATGCAGCTTTTTATGACAACTTGCTCCTTTTTAATTGCAGTGCTTTTCATCGGGACTTAAAGTTTCATAAAATCACGAGTTAATTAAATAAAATTTTTCTTTAAGTAACATTTCAGGGATTCCACTCTAAATTTAGTGCAAGTAATCTTGATTGTCCAAGGCATTCACTGAATACTTATTGCCTTTTTGAGTATTTTTTGGGCTTCAAACATTTTCTCTTCAGTATGGTATATCTTTTTGCCATAGCAAACTAACAAACTTCTGATGTTCAAAGTATAAAGGCAGGAATGTAATGAATTAGACAGCATTGATTCCCATCCTACATTTATATTACATTTCTTTTAAAATCTGGCATATGCTTTGGCATTGTATTTCGTTCTCTTTTCAAAGTGCCTAAGTATAGTTCTTTAATCTGTAACTAATAACGCTCAAAAAGTTTATTTAATAAGAAAGTAATTCAGTGAGATCAAAGGGCAGACATCATTTGGCAACAGATACTTCTTTTCCATCAAAGACAAGTATAAAATGCAAACTCAAGACATTTATTCAGCTAGACATTTATGTAGATCTGCAATCACTCATGAAGTTTAAACAGAGAGCAGCGCTGCTGCCTGGTCTAACCTTTGGTGGACCGTGGACGACACGTTCAGGAGGCCTTTGCTGTGTTTTTCTTTCAATGCCAGTTCATTCTCTTTATTCTTCAGCCTGATCCTTTCATTTCTTTCTGCTGAAATAATGCTTCTGTAAAATTTTCTGCTCAAAATTAAAAACTCTGAGTTGTSACAACATTTACCACAAATTAATCACGGTTCTAGGTAGTTTTAATAGTTATTGCTCATTAGGGATATCAAGTACTTCTCACACACTGCCACTGTGATCTGTTGCACAGAGAATAGTTTGTGCATCCTTTGGCTAAGATAGGAATGTCACTGAATTCCTATTTTGCCTACTTCTCCCACTAGGCTAACTGATCAACATGGAATTCAAAGCAGAAATTTTATAAAAAGACCTTGATGCCTTAAGCAAGAACTGTAACACCTAAACAAAAAATACCATGTAAAGAAAACCTCCACTCAGGAGTGACTCAGTCCTGGGAATGCTTAACTTCACAAGGTGTCCCCTCAATWGATAGCAAACTCTTCTGGGTATTTTTGCACATGCTCACACTCTGTGGTTTAGTGCTGATCTGCTGACCAGCCTCCAGATTTGTGCCCCTGAAGTCCTGCCTGGCAGCAAGGCTTGGGCACACCCGACAGACAGGACCCCACAGCACTGCTCTCACATGAAACAGGAGGAGAGGGATGGGAATGTAACAGATCAAGGTACAMAACCTTCACCTGGGGAGCATCCAACCTTTTCTGAACACTCAGAGAGGCTGACAGGCACCTTTCCTACCGACTGCACCATCAGGCAGCAGTTACTGAATGTACTCTGGGCTGGCTGTGCAAGGGGAGCTCACTCCACCTTTTTTCCTGTGGCTGTTCTAGGCAGACTAAATTCAGATTTACCAGGTCAAGGGATGCCAGAAGAAGCAAAATAATCTAGCCTCACATTAAGCACAGTAACTGAGAGAGAGGGAATTGTCTTATAGCTGCAAATATCATACAAACCTTGTAAAGACTTCAGGTGTTGAAGCTTTTTCCCTTCATAGCCTTCTGTGATTTTTCCTAATTGCTGGTAGTAGTTTTGCACCAGTCTGTTGATGTTATTGCTGGTCCCATACACACTTTCCACAGCAGATTCCACCAATCTCTCCTGTATCACACAGTACAAGTCACAATTCATTTTTCCAAGCCCCAAAGTGTTTTTATCTGTTTAAAAAACCCAGTCTAATTTGSTATGTGCACACAAAATTGTGAATTTCAAAAATGGCTTTAAAAAYGTGGCAGACTGAGATACTGAAAACCATGCAACATTTCAGCAAGAAAAATTGCAGCGAAATCTTTCTAATTTGCCTCATCTCCATCTGGGAAGGGGTCATTCAATCAATCTCTACAGCTCATCTTAACAGTCAAACCAACTGCCAGCAAAGCAAGCTAATATACATGTAGCTCTACTGTGACTTTCCATTAAATGGAAAATTAAAATATTTACTCTGGAAAAAATCTATTAATCTATGAAGCAAGTTTTAATTTTAATTTTATTTAATTATTTACCTATGAATCAATATTAAATTGTTAGTACGCAAACACTATTAATTAATCATAAAACCATAATCACTCCATGTCTTTCTTCTTTTTGTTATTCTTTGCCATCAAGAATTCTCACAATTGTTTTTCTGTACCAGTGTTTGACTTAAAAAAACCTGTTTTGGCTGCTGTAGCAAATACTGTACTGCTACGTAAGTGTTAGCTTGTAAATACTTTGTAAGTTATGCTCAGTTTTAACACAGATTGTAAAGAWCTTCTGCTGATACTTCCAGGCATAGGATAATGCATATATTAAATTGCCTTCCATTTGTGCACAGTAGCCCTGGTTTTTAAAACTGCTATTGACCATTTCCCTACCTTGAAGTCCTGTCCATCATCTGAACTCTTTTTTCCAGYTTCCTCTCGAGCATGCTGCAGCAGTGTTTGCCCAATCACCTGCTCCATGTGCTGCTGAAGAAACTGAAGAGCTTCTTGGATTTCYGTGACTAGCTGCTGATGAAATTCTAAATTGGTTTCTTGTGTTTCTTCCTCAAGCTTCTCCTCTTCTTCACGAATGTGGGACTCCTGGTAATCAGACARTAAGACAGCACTGTTATTCAAGAAWGTTAACAATTGTAGTCAGCTTCACTTTGACAGCAAGTCCTGCACCCATTCACAATGCTGCAGCTTTAATAATTATAATATAATTTACAGTGGAYATTTGTACAGTCATTTAACACATTTGTCTTTGCCACTGTCATGATATGCCCAGTAAAAGTTGCATCCTGTCCCATCAGTCATTTCCAAGTGATGTATTCACATGCATGTGAACTATCCTGGGTCCAGTAAGGGATAATGGCAGATWAAATGCACAGGGGCAAGGCAAGTATAACCATGCACCAGGAATATTCACAGTTTGTATGGTCTACCTGAGAGAAGCTTGGTATATTTGTCCTTGGGAAAACCAAAACCCTTTGGAGTACCAGTGGCCCTTGGGACAGGTCGTGAATGTATGTAACAGCCCTTGAAACCCATGTGCACAACATCCTCTAGTGATCAGTTCTAAAGCTCATCCACACATTTCTTAATTTTGAATCTGCCATCTAATAACTTTGCTATGTGCTCTCTTTCATTAGAAATGTGAAAAATTGTTCTCTATTCACATATTTGATACCAATTTTAAAACCTATGATATTCCAGAAGACACGTGCTTTTTAGGCTGAAGAGTTCAAATGCTTTGAGGTCTTTGGATCATCCTTGCCTYCATTTCTCAGCTTCTTTTTAAATCTGCTTTTCTTCTAAACTCTCTTTAGTGAACAATAGTATCTGCTCACCAGCCTGGTCCTTTCTGTCATCTTTAAGTGTGCCATAGATGGCCTTCTGTTGTGTTGCTGATGTCCTTCTTACATTTACATACACACTCTTGAGGCTAAATAACATTTAAGTATTTTGGGGGATTTGACAGTGCCTATATAATGCCTTCTTGGAAATACAAAATGCAAGTAGGAAAAGAACCTGCTTAGCCCACATCATAATAATAATGTTCCTATTAATGCTGGGCTGTTTTGACATGTTTATAGCTCAGACATGTGTTTGAGATTTTTTTCAGACAGTTCAAATGTCATTTAAATGCTTCTTTTTTTTTAGAGACCAAATGTCACGTGATTATGCCCAAGCTAGGATTTATTACAGACGTTTTACATTCTATATTAAATCAATGGATAGACATGACATTCTCCACTGGTATTAAACCGGCCCAAGCAAAAYTTTAAGTTTAGGTAAAACAACACAKTATGTCTAAAAATCTGGTTGAGTGTCTGTAAATTAACTTTTTCCTTAATTCCTTATAGATTGGTTCTAGTTTTGGCGGCTGTTTGTAACAGTGGCTGTTTTTTTTCTCCTGACTTTTCACAGTGCCACACCTATGCCCTACTTTTTTGGCAGCAAGGATTTTATATGTGTAGTTTTWGTCACTTTCTTGTCAGATGGGTTTTAGTTTGGCTTGAAAAGAGGCTGTAATGGAGAGAGGCCAAAGGAGCACAATACCAGGACATTTCATTTTCATCAGGGAACATAGTGATTGCATCAATTAATGTTTCCATGTGAGCTAAGTGAGAGGGAGTAGTGAAAAGCAAGATGAATGCAGATCTGCATTTGTACTTTATTTTATTTTATCTTATATTTTATTTCTTCTGAAGGTTAATGAGTTTGTAATATTTTCWAACTTAACAGAAACTGCTTCCACTGATGTTTTTCAACTACAAAAATGGCAGGATACGGATTTTCCTTATTCCTCTTCATGAATATTAAGGGTTTGTATTACACAAATTGGAATTGGAGAGATACAAAACTTTATCTTTCAGCCACACGGCAGCAGCATGGAGCACAGAGCTGCAAAGTGTCTGATGGGTTCAACCCATATTTGCAGCAGCAATGGGTTGGGCAAGGGCTATCATTGACACCTGCTGGGAGGGTTGTCTGAGAATGAAATATGAAATGTGATGTTCTACATAAACATCCAACCTAGGTAATCAAATAACCAACAACACTTAATCGATCAACACTAAAACCACTCACAGATTTGAAAGTAGCCTATGAGAATATAATGTCTAAAAATCCCTTTAGCTTTCCCTTGTCTTCTTGACCTACAGTAGCCAGATAATTTGTGAGGACTGGGAATGGATGATGAGCTTCTTATGGACAGAGAGAGAGAAAAAAGAATGAAAAATTATGACAGTATRGAAGGACTTGATAGGTGTGGCAGGAGTAAGAATTTCTCCTAATGCTCAAGTAAAAGCTTCTCAAGTACATATTATGATCCCTAGCAGAATTAGCAGGAGTTTCTCTTAGCCTGAAGCAGTAGTTTTGCAAAAGTCCTTTATACATGTTGACATCCTTGCCTWCTTGCATTAGTATTTTCATATAAAYTAATCACTAAATAAGCTTGCTACGATAATGCMTATCACAGATGGCTATACACTAAATAAAGCACCAGGGAAAATTTAAAATGTCTGCCTAAACTACAACAGGCACACTCAAGGACCTCCTRTGCCACCAAAGGGCACATTTTTGACAGAGAACATTTCTCTTTCTACTTGGAACTTGAACTTTTTTTTTTGGTGGGGTTTAGATTCTTCCACTTCTACTTCTAACGTCAAATATCACAGCATATGAGAYCTCTGGAGACAACCCACCTGGACATTATACCTACCACTGCCTTCTGTAACTGCCACTGGTCCTCATCTTGGCACAGGGAGGATCCCTTCTGCAGGGTGTGTTGCTCTCTCAGCTCCTGAAGCAAACTCTTCTTTCTGGACAGTCTCATGCACGCCAGGGCTGCCATCCCAACTCTTCGGAAGGTTAACCTTCTGAGTACTGAACACAGCAGAAGTCGGTGTTTTTGCAATATGTAGTTAACAGACCTGGAAAAAGGACCATTAAAAATCCATCAGTGAAGCTGCTTGCTGGTGTGGCACACCTATGTTCAGCAAAGTCATTGCTTAAAGGTGACAAGAGTTATTCTTTACTTTGTGCAATGTGTTTTTGTACAAAGCATGCCTTRGAAAGCTGCTCAGGTATAAAGAATGRGTATTGCTGSGTTACACTTCTAGTTCTGTCCYACTGAAGTTACATCAAAATGAAAAYAGAAATAAAATAGYTAAATAATSATCTATATGTTGCTGGAGYGAGCATTTTACCTTRCAGAAARTGCAACTGCAGTGTGACATAGRSTCGCACATAAGATAYCCACAAAGCACACCAGTKACAAAATGACATAAGACTAYTTTTTCTRCTTTCCAGAGGTCTTGATATGTCTATTTTTATTTGCTTTTGATACTCAGACAAAAAACTAGAGCAATTGTCCCTCTGTTCTAATAATCCCTCAACACTGCTTTCCACAATGCAATGCACACAAAGTTTGATYTGTGCATGCATTAGTGAAGTTTTAYCCCACTGCTCCCTGATGAAMCTGTGCTTACTCATCACTGAGGCATCCTAGTCGGTTCACGACACCTTGAATTATCCTCTCTTGTTTCTCAGAAAGGTGCTTTCGCATCACAGCAGATAGAGCATATTCTGTTATCCAGACCTAAAAGCAGGGAAAAAAAATCACAAATATAAGATACTCTGATTTCAGTCAGTCACCACRTTAAGAAACAAGGGTTAATTTTGCTAAAAAAAAAGTCATCCCTTGCTCTCAAAAACAAACTCATGCTGAATTCAAGTTTTTCTACTTGGGATTTTTTTTCAATTATCAAAATCTTAAACAAAACTCACTGAAAAGAAAGGCTTTTCTCTAGTTTGGATCAGCCCTGAGCTGTGTGTCCTCTTTGGCTTCAGCAACAAAGGAACAGAAAAATAACAATACGGAGCAAAATATTGCATCAACTCTTATCAGCAGGTTGCAGTAGGCTTCTTATTTGTTTGTGTTTTTTTTCTTTTCACTGGTAGAGAAAATAGTTTTTATTTTCACTGAACAAAATAAAGATATAATCTTCCATCACACCTTAGTCATAGTACACATTACTAATAGCTGGAAATAGAGATTACATGATTAGGTAGGTATATGGACTGCAAGTTTACAGCTCCTTCAGTGTGGCATTCAGATCAAAGAATCTACTCCTTAAATGAGTTTTGATGGATTTGTCATTAGACTGTAAACTTTTGGAGATATGGACAAAAKATTTAGTTTAGTGCATTGCCAGAATTTAAGGAATAATAAGTCATAAGCTGAAATAGTTGTAAGGCCCTASTCTTACTGTAAAATGATGAGTATATTTTAGGCTACTGATAGCTGAATAAAAGCAGGTTACCTGCTGGTATATCCAGAGCCCTAAATTAAATATTATACCCAGGGTGTCTGACAGTCTCACCTTGTGTTCCAGCCTCATTCAGAACACAAGGGACTACATTTTCAATTATGGCTGGCACGTATGTTTCGCTAGACCAGGATGTCCAGCAAAGGATTAGATGTTGTCCCAGCTGCAGGACAGGGTGAAGCTTAATGTGATGTGGGCACATCCCAGTTGTTATTCTGTACAGCCACCTTCTCTTTTTGTGTATCTTTGCTATTAATATCGCTGTTGTTATTGTGTATTCCTTATTCCATGGCTTGMGCTTTCAACAAATTGTTATTTCAACCCATAATCTTTGGTTTTGCCACTCCATTACTGGAATGGGCAGGGCAGGGGGAGTGGCTYATTTGGAGTTTAATTTCCATGTGGTGCAAAAAACAGCACAAATGTAAAATTTCACATTTGTAAGTGTTAGAAATTAGGAGGGGTACTGGGCCTTCCTGGGTAAGAGTCTTTTTTCTTGGGAAGCAGTGATCTGTGCAGGAGAGAGGCTTTCTCTGTGAGCCCAGAACAAACTCCCCTGGAAAGTATAGAACATCAGAAATCTCATCATCTTTGGCTTCAAGAAAATTTATTTCTTTCATGGCTATCACCTTCTTTGTAGTATACACAGTGACACATCTAACTGATCTCTCTCCATGTAAAAAACCTTAGCAAAACACAGGTTCCTGAGCAGGATGCCTGACAAGGATGGGCAGGCAGTCAGCAACAAGTGACAGATGGGAAGAGTGCAGCTGAGCATGAGATGCACAGCCCCAAAAATCTGCATGGTACTGGAGACACACTAGACTGCTCWCAGCAAGAGCCTCAGATGTACCTGTGTAGCCAGATCTCAACTGATTTGAGTCCAGGTGAGTCTGATAATCACAGAGCACAGTGAGCACAGTGTTTTCTCTGATTGTACGCTGCAAGCATTGAATTACAGTCTATCAGGTCTCCAGGTATCATCATGACAGATGGCAAAGACTTGCTTGAAGTAATAAKTGTATCAGCATTTCCCTTTAGCAGCTCTGAGGATATGGCTCCTAGTGTTTCACACCTCTCTGCACATGCCTTGTAGATCCATCACATCGTGTACTTTAATGTCTCTTTCAGCAGTTAAAAAAGTCTGAAAATGACCTTTTATTTTCCGGAAGTATTTTTATATCCAGTGAGAGACTGTGGCTCAGATGCGGGTTTCCATCATTTTTTGAGACCTGATTATTCACTGAGAAGTTGCTCTTGAAGGGCAAGTCAAACAGCATGTGGGYATATATCACCAAGAGACATAAGACAGGAGATGATATCTGAATTACAACCGGAATGGTAAATGATAGAATATTACAGCCAAGAACCCAAAATATAGCACCTCACTAGCTATTAGTATATCCTATCCAAAAAGGCACTCAGAATGATAAAGACAGGGCTTGTAGTTGTTCTTTACTTCTGTTTATGAAGAAACAGACGAGTTCTGTAGCAGTGAAGTTTCTTCTAAAGGAAAAGAATGAGTCACCTTTTCCATTAAAAGTGCATTTGAGGTAATCTGCATGCAGAATTTATAAAATGTCTCTGCACCCCTGAGACCAGTGGGAAACTGAGAATACAGCAGAAATTCCTCCAGCATACAGTTATTAAACTGAACAGTAAAAGTACCTCAGTCGTGTAAGTAGTAAGAACAAGAGGAAAGGAGAGGGATTATTACACATTTATGATGATATGATAAATAAGGAAGATTGAGAATTAGACCAAATACTAAACCATTATTCTGTCTCAAAAAGGCCATTAGGAAGATGATCAAGATAGAAAGGATCAGCTGGAATAAAAASAATATTTTGTTTATTTTATTGGAAGCAACACTTAGGCATCTCACTGGGATGGGCTGGTAGAGCTGGGTATTTTCCACCCCTAAAACACATGAAGACCCCACACAGAGACAGAAGGGTGACAGCAAATATTCGCTGGGAATGCTGAGGCTGCTGGCATGTTGCGGAAAACCAGCAAAAAATAAATAAGAGAAAGTGATAAAATGCACACCATGTCAAAACTGGTGAGCAGATACCAGTTCAGCTTTCTGGGTGTCAAGCAATGATGTGGGAATGGATGGAAATCTCATCCCRTTTCCATTCTGTGAGCTTCCAACAATTTTGCTTCCTGGTCACAAATCCATTACAAAATTTCTTGAAGCATTGCTGAAGTTAAGCATTACTCCCTGGCAGTAAAGGTGGGGAATATGCCTCTCATTTGTTTTGACATCTTTARCAGAGATAATTCAGGGAATGGAAGGAAAGTGATTTCTCCATCCCAGCCTGTAGATGGGGTGAGATGCACACTGACTGCCAAGCGAGTCCCTCAGCTCCCTGAAACTGCTCTCTACAGAAATCATGMGTTAGGGACTATATGGGAAAATGCTCAATATTTATTTCCATTAGTCATTTACTCCCATTTGCCTCACTCATATCTTCAAGCCTATAAGGCAAAGTGATATATGAAACGGATTTTTTTCTTTTGAGTTGTAAAAGTGATTCTTTTCCCCCAAAGGACATACTATTCCAGACATGTATAAATGCTAGAAAAGATCATCTAAAAAAAGGTGGTTCAAGTAAAAGGGAAGAATGCCTTTTAGAACAACCTTGAAAAGCACACATAAATACCCTGGTGAAAAGCCTTCTGGTGTTAAGATTTCCCAAGCCTGTAAATCAGGTGACTGTGTAACTCTTAGCACAGCACATTTTTTGAGTGGCAAATGAAAGACATATCTCCTGSTGCAAAATGCCTGATTATCAAAGGCCTGAATATGACGGTTGATTTATGGATCTTTTGTCACAGTCGGCGCTCTAACATCTTTGAGATCTCCCAAATGACATAATCATCTGTCACAGGTGCTCAATATCTCTTCTTCTTAAGGTGGAAACCAAGTGTTCCTTTTTGTAGGATGCAAGTGTTGGCTTACTGCTTAAATGTTCATGCTGCTGTGTTTATACCAGGAAAGGGACAAGAAACRCACTTTGTATTTGAACATAATGGGCTGGGATGCTTTTCAGTCTCATGAAAATTTGCAAGCCTAGCTTTGGTGGAATAATTATCTCCCTGCATGCTCTCTTTGGAGATAAAGCAGATTTTTTTCCAGTCTAGTTAAAATCCTTTCCAAAAAGTCACACACATTAAGTTATAAAAGGTACTTAAGCTCCTGCACAGAATATTGTCTTGAGGAATCACAAGATGAACTTCTCACTAAGAGAAACTCTTATATCTTCTTGGAATTTATCCTGCAGAATCACTTGTCCTTAGGACAGCTCTGTCTGCCACTCAGGAGATTTTTATATTGAATAAAGCCCAGCGGCAGTGCTGGTGAATCAGAGACCAATGGGAGAGCTCTGTCATTGCTAAGTTAATTTCTATGCAGCTTTATACCTCAGTAATTACTGTTAATGATGTCAGCAAACCCTTTTTTTAATTTTTTTTTTAGCTAGGAAGTCATCTGCTTTACATTAGGAATGCTAGGGTACATTGAAAGTGATGGAAAGTCAATTTTCTATTTTAAATAACCTACAYTTGGGCATGATCAGAACACCTGAATTCACATACAATGAATCTATCACACAATACTGTCCAAAGAGCTATTACCAAGCAGCTGAGTGTTGGAGATGAACTAATCCTTTAAATCCTTGGAAAAAAACTCTCAGGGTGTGGTTTCTCCACTCCACTCCAGCGTATCCATTGATAGCAACACAGGAACGTACAAACAGCATTTCTGGAACAAGATATTAGGCTTGAGAAGTCCCCTCTGTGGTGAGTCTCTTGTTTGTTAAAGACATCCCCTCTGGCCCTGAACAATGGCAGAGGTGCCCTAACATGCACTCTGACACTATTCAGAAGTTGCACACCAGCACCTCCTATTTCTCTGTGGTTTTTTATGGCAGTGAACACCATCATGTTGATTAGGGCTCTGTGCACTGTGAGACGTGCTCGTAGTTCACCAGCCAGACCAGGCTGCTCAGGCCATGCACATACAAGGACAAGCAACCTGTGAACCCTTGATGAATGCGAAAATGAACAGCAAGGTTTAAACTTGACAAGTCAGGCATTCAAGCCAATCCTTGATAAAAAGGAGCAAAATTAAAAATAAAAAAAAAATTGAGGTCAGCCATTGTTTCATTAATGACTAAAAGTACAGGTATGACAAAATCAAACACTAAATGCCAGTCAGCAGCCCTGGAAAATACAAATGCCCACAGTTAAGCASRTGAGCAGACCCACTGGTATCAGTGSTTGGTCCCAAGCACAGTTTAGTTTATTTTGCTAGATAGCCCTGTGACMCCAAAACAGAAAAACAGAATAGTTTTTCAAAACAGGTGAGTTACAATAAMGGAAATATAAAAAGATCAGGGACATGTATGTTGCACAACTCCAGAGCAATGAAAATATGGAAGGAAGAAAGCAAATGTCTGAGAATTTCCAGTGAATATTTTTACTTTTGTATTTCCAAGGGTGTTCTAAACCCACTGGTTAGCAAACAACTCTACCAGATTTAGAASGAAGCCATGAATCACAGTGTTTTATGGCAGAATCCTAAATAYGAGTGGGTGAAAAAGTTGAACACCTTAACATAGTCTGTAACAATTARGGTCTTGCTCAGTACTCATTAACAATGTACTGGATTGTCCAGGCACTTTGGAGAATGAGGGCAAGGGAAATAATTCTGGCAGCTAAAGAAATCTGCTGACCTTCTATTTAAGAAGTTCCAGTCACTCTGTACATTGCAGCACACACCTTTGAATGGAGAAGGACATACCTTTGAATGGAGAAGGACATACCTTTGAATGGAGAAGGTCTTTCTTTGACTAAGCTGTGTTAGAAACAATGTTAACAGAAACACGGCACTGCATGAATAAACTGAATGTGTATTTGTGTCCCAAATCCTGCTAGGCACCTGCCTCTGCATTGACTCTAGYTGCTTTTCTCCTCTGGTGTCAATGCCTCCTATGGTGGGCACAACAGAGCAGGAAAGCTGAATGTTTGTTTCTTCACCCTCTCAGAACAAAGAGTACGTTTATATAAAATATGCATCATATACTTCCAGTTATTATAGTATTATATTACAGTATTCTTAYATAAAATTAGTGAGCAATATTTATCACTGCAAGGCTTCCTTGCCTGTAAACTGCATTCACATGTTATTGAACTGTTTCTCTAGATGCTGAAGAGTTGAGGACATCAGACAGCAGCCTTGCCAAGCAGTGTTTATGTGCTGACAAAGCTGTCAAACAGTGTGGACAGATGTTCAGTAATTACTCCCTGACTCCTCTGTGCAAGCCTACATGCACAGCATACATATTCATTCCATACTGCAGGTAAAACTGACCCTCCTRAGCCTGGAGCTGTGGCTGCACCAGCCTATACATTTATACACAAAACACTCCCCACAGGTAAGTATCTTGATAATTTCTTTTTCCATATCCTTTTTTAGACCCTGAGGTCCCAAACCACAACATGGATCTTACTTCTTTTTCTTTCARTAGCTGCTCCTGGAAAAGCTTCCAGTGTCTCTGGCGGTGGGTCTCCCATTTCTCCAGCTGAGGGACCACRTTCTCCTGCCATTCCTCTTTCAGAAGCTCACATTCTCTTACRGAGAGGCCAGTCACCACAGGCAGGGTCTGAAGAAACAGCTCCGTCACCAACTCTGCTAAAGCAYGGGAAGCTTTAGAGTACAGCTCCTAASAGAGGGACAGAGAGGGACAGAGAGAGWCAGGTGACAAAGTGAACCCCTGGCCCTTTGGAGCTGTTTCACTGCAYATTCCACAATGCCAGTGAGGGAACTGTGGGAATACACTGGGCTGGTGAYCAACTCCTTGAGCTAAAATTCTATGCCACTAAGGCTTCAGCTAAAAAGACCAACTTTGTAGATGGAACAACTTAAATAGTTTGGTTCAAGCTACACAAAGCATTTAAAATGGAACAGTGGCAAAAGCACATAAGACTCTGAACCCTAACTGTTGCCCACATGTGACTGCAGTAGAAAAGAAAATGTTTTACTGGCTATGGGGATTTATTTTGAAAGTTGCTGTGGAAAGAATCTGGTRTAGCAAAACACCTCATAGGCACATTTTCACAGGTGTGGTAAGAAATGAATGAAGAGGGAAGAGTAAAAGGGACAGTATGGCTTTTAGCTACACAAAAGTGACATTAGTCATGTAAACAGTTTGTATTTCAAAATATGGCACTCTTCAATGCCTGAAGAACAGAATTATTCAAATTCATCCTGATGCAGAACAGTTTCAAGCCTAGGAAAAAAGTGTCTTCTGGTGGTTTTAATGAAACTAGTCCCATATKAGCAGTTTTTAATTGCTGAGGCTGTTTCACTCACAAGGAGTGTTTGGGYGATTTAGTCGGATGGCATCCAAACCAAAAACTCTGTTCTAGYTTCACTGTCAAACACACAGTAGTGATAGGAGCTGTACTGGAAAACTTGGYACAATTTGAGATAATTCCTGAGGAGAAGGAGTCGGGCCAGGTAGCTTTCCCAGCTGAAAAGAGAACAAAACCACACTGGAAAGTCACATGGASGTTGCAGTATTCCTGCAGGATAAAGAGCTATTTTTGTATGAGCTCTGCTAGATCCCACCAGTCCAAAAAGCTTTACTGCCTAGCTGTAATRGTTTCATTGCAAACCAGTCTTAACCCTCCTGAAAATATTTCTATTTCTTTCTTTTCTTTAAAATACTGATAATATTTTTAAAACTCTTTTAAGGATCTCTGTTACAAGAACAAGTCAGGTCTTCTAGCTGCTGCCATCTTTTAAATATAGGTTTAATTACAATTTCTTAGATGATCAAATCCTAGAACATCTCAATAGAAACACAGGGATATTTATCAAGATGTCAAAAATGTTTGCCTACAGCTCATAGACAAGGAAAGTTCTAGTAGATTTTTTTTTGAGGGGTGGARTGGCATGCACTGTGATAATGTACTGTTGTGTAAGAGCTATTCCAGCTACTAGATATTGATCAGAAAATAACAAATACTAAAAAAAAGAACAACTACACACACACACAAAAAACCCTCAATAAAGACAATAGGGGATGTTAAAATGAAAAGAGAAGAACTCAGAAATAAAGACCAGAACTTAGGTTGAATGCAAAATGTAGTTCTGTGCCCCCATAATGATAAATTTGGGGTTCATGCACGGTTTCCACAGCACCTTTATCTCTTTATCTGTTCCATGTTTAGGTTTATGAACATCCTTTGAACTGATTGATTTCTTAAAAATGTTTTATATTTCTCATTTATTGTAAAATATGCCAGCTGTGTGCTGAGTACTAAATTATTATTTTCCTCCTATGATCCCTCTAGGATGCTAATCACCATATTAATTAGCTGTTTCACAAACAATAAACAGCTTAACAGCTCCCTGCAGTAACCTCTTCTTATGGATAAAATTGAGGCACAACACTACAAAATGTGTTCACTACACCTTTGAGATGAGCTGTCTCAGCTCTTTCCACTCTCTTGCTGTTTAAAGAAGGCAGGATTTTCAGAATCCAACTCCCACTGGCTTTCTTTAATCTCTTTAATCAGARTATTCYGAATTCTTGCAAATTGGACTATGGTTTTTTGAAACTGAGTTGTGGGCATAAGTATGAGAATTAGGAGTCAAAGACCCAACATAATACCTATTTTCTGGTAATACTTTTCCCATTTCTAGTGATTGCTCACAATCTGGACATGACACCATCATCAGGGTAACATTTGCTACACAGGTGCATTCTGTGCTGAAGGATTATTGCCCCTACTCTTTAATTATTAGGGTGACAAGTTCCTGTAACAATAGAGGCAGGATTTATACCATCCTAGTCACCTGTGTAGTTGTGGGCCTGGTTTGTTTGGCAAAAGCAATGCTAAATTATTTGTCTGAATTCTCTCTTCTGATGTTATTTTAAAATCCAAGTCTCCAAGTTCTCAGATATAACATAAACTCAAAGACCTTTTATTTCTCATCTACCTATCCCATACAACCTTTAAAGAATAATGGTTCTATCTCTGTAAACCATCTCTTCTCTGAGCTTTACCAGCCTTTCAGGGCAAGTTAATTCCCCTGCCTTTACTGGGCGTTCAGTGATATAAGAATTTATATTGGGTCTGAAATAGTTCGAAAGCAGTCAAGASGAGTCTGTGGCATTTCTACCTCAGTATCAAAAGATCTCAGGCAGGATTTTAAAGAATTCTRTTCTTAAACAATGGCAGCTAAATCCCTTTTGAACATATTTTGCTGCAGAACTGATAGCATTTCCCAGGCACGCTCACAACTCTGTGTTATTATTTACTAGGAAATATTTTGCACAGAACAAAAATGTGGTATTTTGTTCCTTGTTGTCAATGCCATTTTGTTCTGTGTGTACCCCCTGCACCTTCAAATTATACTGTACCCTTTAACTTTGGTACCACCACAGGGGGGACACATTTACTGAGGAAAAAYGTGACTAGGTCCTGTTCCCACAAAATTATTCACCTATACCACCTCATTAATGTGATGAATCAAATGAAATGGACATCAGAGCCCAGACAGTCCTTGCATGCCAGGCCTAAGAGGACAGCATGCTGTACCCAGAGGCCATGCCAGAGGGACGAGATAGTGGTCATGCTGTTTAATGCAGCACTTGAAAAAACGTGGTGGAATGGCCTTTTAAAACTTGGTAGGGGAAATACTAAGTCTACATTTAGGAGAGATTGCAGATGTGATTGAATTCTACCCAAGTGATTCAAGTTAACAAAATAGTTCAAAATGGTTTGTACTCTAAGGATTGCACTTGATTTCAAACTGCAGTAAAGTCTGACTGTGAGCAGGGATGGCACATTATGTATCATAAAACTTATTTTCCACARGAAAAAAAGGAAAATCAGTACTGCTTCCAGGGTCTTATTTTTGGACTAGAGCCTCTGCTAACATTTTTTCACAAGTTCCTTTATGTGTCATCATTTGTTTTTAGAGCTTTGATTTAATGAAATGTATTAAAATTGATTCCATTAATAGAATAGCTGATTGCAATATTGAATGAACCTGCTTGTAGTACCTGGCAGTCAGTCTCAAAGCTTTTCAAAAAATCCCCAGAGAAATACATCAAGCATAAAGAAATACCATGGGGTATGCATGGAAATGAAATGGGCTTAGATTAAAATGCTGARTGCATCTGAGTTTTAAACAAGGCAATAAATATATAATTTTGTCAAAAAACAGATGAAATACATTGCTTATCAGATTTCACTCAAAAAAACAATATTAATTTAAATTAAAATTAAATTAATATTAAATTTAGCCCTTAAAGCTAAATGACTAAAAGGTTCCTACATATAGATGAGTGAATAGTGAAACTGTGAAACAGGAAAATGTATTTAGAAAGGCTGGTTGTAGTTTATGTTACAYGCCAGCCACTGAAAGGTATACATTATCTCAAAGAGGCAACAGATAACTTRTGATAGAACATTTTATTAAAGGTATTAAAGCATAAGATCAAAGCTGTGGAACACTGTTGCATGTGCCTCCAGAAGCTCAGTGGACATGACACTTGGTTAGAGGTAAGAGACTCATCTCCCAACCCATATTGTGTCTTACTAAGGACAGAGATTCAATATTCAGATCAGACATCCCACAAATACATAAAAAATTCTGGGACACTGGACACACACACCATTGGCCATTAGAAGATACTTCAGATACTCAGACAGATACACTCCAAATGGGGAAAAGAAAAAACTTTTCCATGTGAAAAAATTCCGGAATGCCAACKGGAAAATGAAAACACTACCTGCTTTTAAGCATCCTAACATCAATAAAACACAGTGACATTGAAGTCATCCTTAGCACAAGTTAATAAAAAGGCCCCACTGCTTGATTTCTATGCATTTAAAATGCAGGTTTATTGAAATTTCAATCTTGCCCTCTCAATAGCCTTTGATTTATTCAGGAGGCAGTTTCAATCTTCTCTTTTGGTACTCCSTTTTTAGAAATGTGCCTTTGTAGATAAGATTATGTCCTTCATGACATCTAACTATTAACAAATCGTGAATCCATGTAGTTGAAAAACACATTTTCTTATGCAGTAAGGCAAGAGGAAAACTTTAGAATGAAGGCTACCCACRTCAGACATCTTGTGTCAGCTTTGACTGAAATGACCAAAGTAAATCTAATCGTGCCCAAATCTAGAACTAGAATGGGGTTGCGAGTTAGGAGTTCACAGAGATTTAATCTATTAGATGATTCTGTCTTTTTGGGGTAAATCAAGGGCAAAAATTTCAAAGTGAGCCTTTGAGTTGGAGGTCTCTTGATAGGGATTTCCACCTGAGAAAAACTGAGGGAGTCCCCTTAAAAAGATGCTAGCTCTTGGTACCCAAAAATGTAGTCTGGCATCCCTAACAAAATCTCAGGTTAACAAAATTACATAAGGAAWGTAATAAAAGAGTAAGTCTCTGAGATTCTGACCATTTTATTTTATCAAAAATATTTTTTTACCCTTTTATTAACAAAGGAAAAAATCAAATACTTTTCCTCAAACTCACATGTATGTCTACCCATTCATAAAATTGCCCATTGATAACACTCACRACTTAAAAGCTTTCAGTCTACATTCCTGCAAATTTCATTCCCATGTCAAGTCAAATGAAATAACATTCTGGTGAACTGCCATCAGCAAAGGGGAATTATAAATTACAACAAATAGTGTTTTTATGGTTCTGAAATAAAGACAGAGGAAAAAGAATTATCTTACCACATACCATGTAATTCCTAGCTGTTAATYGATTTCCTTTGTGCAATCTTTGTGCACGTCTGTTTTCTTAATAATGAACTGCTATCCCCTAACCTCTTCACTTCTCCTTTCCCTACTGAAATACATGGGTAGTTYACAAAAAAAAGCAAACAAACCAACAAACAAACAAAACAAAAATATTAAATGTTGGTGCCCATCTCACATGCTAAACTTGAGACAAACTTGAGACAGCCATTAATCTGTTCAAGGTAAATAGAACAGAATATACTGGGGCAGAGAGCAGGTCATTGCTGCAGTGTAAAGAAAATTATGGTAAAAACTTCGTACCTGAAATGTTACCCAAACCAATACAAACCTTACTGCAGCACAAAATCCCTTGTATACAGGATAACTCTGCAGACCCTGTTCAKGAAAATATTATACAGAGCCATTAAATTAGCTCTGCACAATTTTTCCTTCAGTTATGATATACTGTGATAATTAAAATCATTCACCCCCCTTCTTCAACACACATTTCAAGAATTAGTTATGGAGGCTGTGTCTAGACACAGACTATTCACCTACAGAACACTACTTTAATCCACTAGTGTGGCTGAAAAGTCCTACATCATCCTCCAAATATAAGTCATTCATTCACTTCAGGCATCAACAGATTCCACTGACCTTGGCTAAATCATTTTAATTGATCTATTCATGTGTACACAAAACAAATCTACTCAATTATTCTACGCAAACACAGTCAGCTTCCAGATCATTGAATTCTTACATATTTATTCACCAATTTGGATAATTTTTTGATGTACTGTAGCAGTACAGACTTCCCTAGTGCTAGAGGGTTATATAAATCTATCTTGATGAACACACAATCTGTTTAAAAAGTGAAAAATGAAAAAGGCACAGAAATTTGAAAGGGCTTAGAAGAACACTGTGAGAAAAAGGTAAGGATCTTCTCCAAAAAGGATCRGCACGTACAGGTTAGTGACAACTTTTCTTCTTCCCCTAGATTATTCCCTGGTTCCCTGTTYAGTCACATGGTGACCTCTTCCTTATATTTTGGTACCACCTTTTTTACTGAGATCATCTTTCAACTTCTTCATTTAYGAGGCAAATGACTATCAGTTAAGGTTCAGTGAGTGCAGACCTTCTGGAAAGGCAAGATCAAGCTTCGCAGTGTTTACAGAAATGCCCAAACTTAATTCAACAAAGGATTAAGGTCCAAACGCAGTAGGGACATAGGTCTTGTAGCAGAGCTGACTACTGCCATGTGAGGCTTGCTGGTACCCAGCTTGTTAAAAGTCTGCTTGTTTAAGTCTCCTTGAGCTGCAGTCACACAACTGCACTGTGAAGGATCTCAAACCCTGGGCATCTTCTCACTGCAATCTTGCCTTCCCCAACAGCAGCAGCAGCTTCTCCCTTTGGCAAATCTGGAGCAACTAAGTGAAGAGGCCAAGTCCTGCTGCCCAGGGAAAGACTTCTGTTTGTAGAGGCTGCACTTCTGCTCTGAATGTGTCGTGGAGCAGAGAGAGAAGCAAAGGCATCGTGTTTGAGAGATGCACCTCCTTCCTTTAACTGCAAGGCTACTTTAACTTTTACGCCCCAGGTAATGGAAAATGTGTAACTATTGCACTTTCCTCAGCTGYAGAAGCCAGAAAGCCTCATTTACCTGCAATGGGGTATTATCATTTGTATTCTCTCTTCTTTCTAGCTTACATATTCAAAAGCCACCTCCTCTCCTAAAACAGTTTGTAGTATCTCTATTTGGGGTTAAAGGGAGAAAGKGCAGTTGTTCATTATGTTAAATATCACAGTAAAAAAAGTTTCATTACAGAAAAAAAAGGTGGAAATTAAGATTTGTGGACCCTCATTTAACAGATGCCAGCTGGATCACAATACTTAGAGTTTTTCAAGTCAAGTTTTTCAAGTTTTTCAAGTGTGTGTTTGGGTCTAGTCATAGGAGAGCAACTGTAATATGGAATATAATGGCCTAGAGCTGGGTGAATTGGSAGAGTTCAAGTTTGTGCAGTTCTCCTGGCAACCTGGCAATTCTAGAAAAACTTAATTCACCCAAACCTATTTTTCTTAGTGGGAAGAAARCTTAGGTTAATTTTGAAAGAAACAGGATTTTCAGTCTGATCTCAATGGTACTAAAGCAGAGTACACAAAAAAGGAAAGCAATATAATTTCACAAATGAGGTGGGACTGTGCAGGATTAACAAACATTATGTTTAGTCTCCAGAATTCATGTGAATTGAGGAAGGGGATGAAGAAGTTAGTAACTATGGACGATGAACTGAGCACAGTAATATCAGCAAACATGTTGACTTATATTACATTACATAGCTTTGTACAATTAATCTACTCTGATTCACTGGTATMTYCTTCCAAGAAAACCTTCCCTTTCTYSRAAGCAGTAACTTTTCTCAAATTGTCTGATGCTTGTACTATTATATAACACCATGGCAAAACTACTCATTCTAAATACAGTGGCTTTWTTTTATCAAATGAATTTGAAAAAGTGCATGTGGAGTAGTGCTAATTAAGACTGTATGGGTGTATTATCCTTATGTGATGGGGACCACAAGTTTTCACAAAATCCTGATCTGGTCATAATTAATCATGACAAGGATCCTGTTAAGCTGAAAGTGATTACTTTCAGCCTAACTAAAAGTCACTATTGATTATGGTTTTGGGCTTCACCAGATMAGTCATGTTATCATATTTCTTCTGCACAGACAGAAAATAATTAAAGATGATGCAAAAGCACGACGCCCTTAGATATTCTCCAAATCAATATCAAAAAGTAATGTAAAAATACWACTTACACGAAGTTCTAAACATATTTCAGGGAACTAACTAGAGTAACAAAAATTTCTCTGTGAAAAAAAGAGATTAAAAGACTACATATGGAGAGGTAGTGAAGTTCACTAAGAATAGTAACATCCAACTACATGCAGAAAAAATAATTATGCCACATAAAGGAAATCTGCCTCCTGGTAGGAATGGCAGACATTGTATGCTCTCAACATGATTGCAGCCTTGTCACCCACCCAGACAGCATGCTTTTTCAGATCATGCAAGCATTTACTGATAATATGAAGTTAGGAAACAGTATTTTGGGAAGATAATGGAAAAGGTAAGCTAATATGGAAGATTGTCCTGCCTCCATCTTCTGGTTTGCCAGCCTTTCTGCAGCTGCAGTTCCTGGAGCTGATCTTTTCTGTGATTCCCCAATCCTCCCCAAGGCTTGACACTGCAGTGGGGTTAGAGGATCTCCAAAATTAATTTATCAAATGGCATTTATCACTAAAAGTGGCACCTTGTAGAGATCAGCGACAGCCTCTGTGCTCTTGAAGTCATCCTCCTCCTCCAGATCCCACCGTGCTTGCCGGTGTTTCTCTGCCAGCTCATGGTAAGCCTAAAAGGAACACAGTAGGCATATTCAAATAGATTAAAAGATCTTAATAGCTTCTTGTGATCCTCCCCTTCCCTTCCTTCCATGTATCACTACAACAGTAATTGTGCTGGAACTGTGACTCAGAGGGAAATGAAACTTGCCTTACTACCTTCATTTGGGCTTATCCAGTCTTAAGTATAAAATTCCTTACCCTTGGCTAAGGGATTAAATAATATGTAAATACTACTGCAAAACATGTGAAATGATCTGATTTGAAGCCTGCTTTCCAGGGTATGGATTTCACTACATCACAGCCAGTTTTAAGAAGTGCAGAACAGTCATCTGACATCATCAACAGACAGCCGAGTTACAGCTCTATCACACTGTACAGAACTTTTACACTGAGGTTGGTCACCATGTCCCATGGCGGTTCCCAAAATGCTTATCTTTGACTTGGTCCTGACTTGGACCTTGGTCACAGTTTTAAGAGGGATTAAATTTTTTTCCCCAAGTGAGGACTGTGACTGTGGTTGAGGTGGCAGGCCCATGGGAGACTAAATTTCACAGACAAAGACCATCTCAATTTATAAACTGTAAGTATTACAGATACATATTCCCTATTTTGATTTAAACTGCCTAGTGCTYCTTTTCATTCCCATGGTAAATATGKTTTTTTTCATTAGGCACATCAATAGTACTCTTCTAAATAGGACCAAAGAGCCTGTAAACTCTTCATAAACACATCATTCTTGTAGAGGTAGACTTGAAAGTTSTTCTTCTCATGGAGTCCTACTTTAGGACAGAATTTGATTTATTAACTGCTGTAACTTKTATGTCCACTGTGGGTAGGCAGAGCCAGACTGCATTACTGTAACTGACACTTTATGGTTTGTTTTCTTCATTGATCATTCCTGTATTCTCTGCCAGTAAATGACAAAATTAAAATGCTCCTTTTCCAAAAGAAACACAGCTGAAGGACACAGAATTATACAGGATCTCTAACTTTTACTATMTATCTCATTCTGTCTTATAAAAAAAATGGATCTGTAGCAACTAAATCATTACCACCCTACTTGTGTTCAGAAGAATCTAATGTGAATAAAGTTTATGGCAAAATCCACCATCATAACTGGCAACCACATAAAATTCAACAGAAAGGTCAGTTACTGGCAAGGCAGCACCATGGTGGTGTGAGCCCCTTGATGAGGTGAATGGGGAGAGGCAGAGAAAACAATTATTTTTCATGCGTACAGTTCTGAGCTCATGGTGAGGCTTTGGAATCAACTCTTTTACTGTTGGGCTGACTATGAGATTACAAAACAAACTTAAAATAGCTCCTCAGTGACAAGTGGATTGTTCTCACAAAAAACTATTACTGGACTATTAAGTCAAACTGTGGGAGCTGCAGGTATATGCAATTTTTTTTTATTCTTCAAACAGTTTCTGCATTTAAGACCCCATTTTGTTATGGGACTAAAGACTCTCCCACTGTGACAGCAAAAAGGMTTGCATTTTTAGCTTTCATAATTTGTATACGGGCATTTCATAATCCTAAAACTCAGCTGTGTTCTGCAGCATGAAGTACAAGTTGTCCCTCCCTGCTCAGTCTGTCATAAGCAGATCTTTAGCCTGCAGTTAAAGCCTACTTGACAGCTTTCTAAGGTGTAAGAATAGAGCACCCCTTGCACAAAGCTGTGTGGCTCTACCTTTGCAGGGAAGAGGTCTTAATGCAAATTTTTTAAGCTTTGTTTAATTAATCTGTGATGTGTCCAAGAGTTTCCAAYGATGGGTATAAGGAAAATAATTTACAAGTGCTCACTAGCCACAAAAATGTGTGACAGAATTATTTGTCTCAAGTTATGAAAAGCCCAAGATGTAAAAAGTGTTCTACTTTTTTCAAAGTGCCTGAAACATTTTGTTTTGAAGTGAGGTGCTGCCAGGCAGGTGTGCATACAGAAACTGCATTATCTAATTCATACAATATTATTAAAGAATATGTCCCTGAGGTGCAAAACTGCAGTGTTAAGATCAATAAATTTTGATAGATAGCTGCAGCTGGAATCTGTGTCTTCTCATACAGTAATTTTATCTAAATTATTAAGACTTCATTTAATGCTGCTGGATGTAACCACTTTCACCTTAAACTATTTCTTTTCATGAAAATTGAGGGGTTTTTTAATTCTTAATAAGGTGGGCTTGAAGTTCTCAGCAGTTATTTGATTTTTGCAGCTTTCATCATTTCCAACTAAGAACTCTGATTTTGTATATTCATTTGGAATAACAATAAAAAATCTCTATAGAAAAYTGACCAAGAAAACATTACACTGGCCATTATATAGCATATTAAATTATCARTTGCAAACCTTCTCTAAGGCATCCTGCCAGAGATCATAATTAGTTTTTCCTCTATTTCTGTGAAATTTGGTAAGTGTTTTGAGCCTTGGTAACCCCTCATAAAAAGCAATTCTATCAGTGCAGACTGTTTTCTTCTGCAATGCAGGCCTGATACTTTCCTCCAGAGATTTCCTGTCTCAAAGCAAAYACACAGTATCTAAGTAAAAGATGTTTCCTACAAAAAACGCAATCTTGCATTAATCCTTTGGCATTCTCTTCCAATGCAACATGACAAACCCTGAAGGAAAAGCCATGGCAACTGRGGTTCTGACCCTGTCCATGTGTGATATTGCACATGATTCTCATGAGGRCTCAAATTCCCAATTATATGGAACTGGGGGAAATCTGCAATATATTTGGCCTCAAAATCTTATAGAACAGTGAAAATAAGCTCTTACTTGCTCACCTTGAGAAAATTATGAACATCTTTAGTAAGGAAAGTTTTGCTAAGGAGATTCTCTAGTTCAGCTTCCCRTCTGCGTTTGGACTCTTCCTTCTTCTTTGCACGGCACTCCAGCCGTTTCAAGATCAGGTCTTTACTTTGTTCCATGCATTCTGGAACACAAACCACAAACAATTAGGCACCACAACCCCACAGGGAGAAAGCAGCATCTGCTACAGTCACACAACATAAGCTCACAGAAATCTGTTARTGAGTAAAACAGACAAGTAATCACCATGCCGGATATCAAATTTGCATGGTACCGTGATGGCCTTTTCAGATGTGAACTTCTAGATTGTTACAAGGCACATAAATCTATCAGGTTTTTGGACTCCTATCATCCTGCACCCTCCCTTTCACTGGTGCTGCTGTTTATGCAAAGGCAGCACATTAGTTCAAGAAAGATTCCTTCCTGCAGCAYCCCAAACCTTCCCCTTCTGCTTCAGGAAGGTTGGTAAGTGGCTCATTACCTAATTGCAGATATGTACATGGTGCTACAAGGACAGGGCAGTAACATATGGTGGGGAGAAAAGGTCTAAAGCAGTGCTAGTTCAGATTAGGCTGAACTGGCATGCAGCCATACATACCAGACTTCTAAACTGACTCATCCAAAAATCTGCAGGAAAAGTTGTCAAGGTCCCTCCAATTTTGTGCTAGCAATGGGAACTATTTGGGATTAAACTCCTCCCCCTTCCATTCCCCCTGTAGCTCCAAGTGACATAAATTCATGAGTCTATTTGGATCCTGGGCTGCCGAGTGCAATCGGTGCTTTAAATGTTCTGCCTSTTCACGTCTCATTGCCTGTCCACCYAAGAAGGATTTTATTCATTTCCCCCACTTGCCCTGCCCCAGAGCAGTACTTCACTCCTGACACAAGCAGCTAGAGAGGAATGCAGAAGAACAGTTACCTGTGGCTGCTGTTGTGCCACGTCAAGCCTGTTTCAATTATGAGAAATTATTTTGCAGAAGATGCGAAAGGGAACACAGTACTGCAGCACTAAGAATGTTATTTATTTTCCATGCTAATTTATTGTGCTTATCCACAGGCAGATGAAGCAGTTGACAGAACACTTGAAAGTGCACCAAAATACAGGAAAGCCTGCAATTAAAATATCACTCAAGTGAATGTAGCAGTGTTTTACTTTTAAACACTACTTGATTCCTTCCTACATCCTTGCTTTATGTCCTAGGAGCACAGTCTTGCTGGCTCTGTGCTCTGTTTGCGAATTATAGGTACAGTTTAATTTTTGTATTTAAGAGCTCATAAGAAAGGTCAACATAAGATTCTATTGGGATAAATGTTCCAATATATATTTTTTAAACCACATTTCATTTCTATCTAAAACCAGGAGGTTGATAATGTTCTTCTGCACAGGATGTACCAACTATAATATACAGCTATATATAAGTATAAACACCTACTTTGCATAAAATCAAGGCCTTGACAAAGGCATTTTTGCTTTGCAACAAGTGAAAATTAACAAAAAGAAGGTAAAATCACCCACTGACACCCATTTATGCTTAAAGAGTGTGAGTGGCTGAACCTATGCAGAAACTATGAACCAGGCATAGCCAGTTCTAGAAGCAAACATCCATGAAATAAACTATATCACAATAGACATGTATTTGTATTCACTATAAGCTAGATGTTCTGAAAGTGGAGCAARTCTGCAGCACTTTCTATGATGAAATAACTGGCTTGGTAGGCAACAGGAGAGTGATGGATATTGGCTACCTTGACTTCAGCAAGGTTTTTGACGCAGTTTCCTGACAGATCCTCACAGAGAAGAGGATGGATGAGCAGGCAGTGAGATGGATTGAAACCTTGCTCCAATTCCACCCAGAAGCCAGTAACTACTGGTGTGCCCTAGCAGTCTATAATGAGTGCAATCCTGATCAGTAGCTTCATTAAAGACCTGGGTGATGGGGCAGAGTGCAAATTTAGCAAGTCTGCAGAGGTCACAAAAATGGGAGGAGTGGCTGATACACCATACATGGTTGTGCTTCCACCCCTAGGGCACTTGACAAGCTGGAGAAATGGGCTGATGCAAATCTCATTAACAATGGGAAGTGCAAAGCACACRCTGGGGRYCACTCAGCTGGAAAGCAGCTTGGCAGGAAAGGACCCGGGGGTTCTGCTGGACACCAGGTTAACATAAGGCAGCAGGTAGAGGGCTATGATCCTTTCTCTCCATTCAGCTCTGGTTAGGCTRCACCTGAAGTTCTGTGTCCAGTTCTGGGCTCCACRGCACAAGAGAGACACGGAGATACTGAAGAGAGTTCAACAAAGTGCCACAAAGATGATGAATGGGCTGGACAATCTCTCCTGCGAGAGAAAGCTGAGAGAGMKGGGCTATTCTGCCKGGAGAAGAGAAGGCWCAGRCYCTGAGCATGTATACAAACAGCTGGAGAGTGGRTACAAAGAGGACAGAGCCASCCTTTTCTGTAGTGCCCAATGAAARGACCAGAGAGAGGCAGCTGCCAGAAAGTGAAACACAGGAGGTTCCTTTTACCACGAGGATGTCTGAGCACTGGAGCAGGTGGCCCAGGTGGAGTCTCCATTCTTGGAGACAGAAGCTGTCTGGACATGATCCTGGGCAACCAGTAGTAGTTCATCCTGCTCAAGCAGACAGGGTGGACCGAATAATCTCCAGAAGCTCCTTTCAATCTTGACCATTTTGTGATTCTGTGAATTTATGACTGAGGTAACACACAATTCATCAACACTAAGCCCAAAGTGAGTGAGCAGCACTGCAGCAAGAACATAGTGCAACACGTCTGCATTCATTCTGACTATTCAGTTCACTGAACTCTAAACCTAATGCCATTTTGCTGCAACAATTTTCTTTAAATATGTCCAAAAGTGGCAGAAATGGTTCTCAAAATTGYGTTGAAGTAGTTCTCATTATTTTCCTTCTGGCTAAACGTTTACTTTAATTTTCTGTGAGTGCTGATGTGAGCCCTGAAACAGCACCCATCAGAGTAGGTGGGGGTGAATTTCTAAACATACTGGGCATTAGGTAACACTCCAAATTACACAGGGACACCCTCAAATCAGTGCGTTAGTCAGCTTAGACTGTTATAATTGTGCATTGTCAGATAGACAATGTGAAGAGGTGTAAAAGGAGAAGACTTAATTTAAAAARTATTTTAGTCTGACATAATAAAAGATTTGAAAGAAGATCATAAGCATTAACATTATCTTTTCATGAGAGTGATAGCACAACTGCTTTGCATATAGCACAACTGCTTCTGGCTTCACATGCTAGCAGGAGATCATAAGACAGTGTCCTACATCAGCCAGTGTCATCAGCAATGCCAAGTATGTGAACAGTAAATGGAGAAATATCACGAATACTGGTAGGAAGTATGATTCTTCTTCAATATTCAAATTGAAGAAATTAAATTATGAGAGTAAGTTCCTAGAGTAATATCTGGAACAAGACATAAAAGGCGTAAAGTCCAAGTCCCCGTTCCAAACTTACACACTCCAGAATAAAACTGATCTTGGTCAATTTATCAATATCTTTTTAAAACAGAATGGTATAGGGCTGAAGCCATAATTTTTTTCAGTGTGTAATACAATGAGAAGTCATGCAAATCATGAGCTCCAGTCTAAGCACTCACCATTACTGTAATGTGCCAGCTCTTCCCAGAAGGCCTTGTGCAGATCTGTTAGAAGTTCTTCCTTTTGTCGGACTGAAAGATTATTCTTTACAGTTAAATGGTCCAGAATATTTGACATAATATTTAATCTACACTTGCACTCTTCTGGTATGGAGGACTTCATTGAATCAATCACTTTCACCATAAGCTCCCAGTTGAATAACCTTTCCTGAATGTCCTAAACCAAACATAAAAGTTCTGTTCAGAAACCAAGAACGCGTCTTTGGTTATGTTTTCCTTTCATTGAATTATTCATTCCCAAACCAYGAAGAAACCACGCAAATAACAATCTTCATGTACTTAAATACTTCTGAAAGTCTTGATCAGTGCAAGCAGTAGGTTTACTGCACATTCAGTTGCAAGAGCTAATCTAAAATTACTAGTGTTTTTCATTATTTGACCTGAAGTCTGGAAAAGACAACAACAACCTTGCAGAACAAAAACACTCGAGTACAGATGGACAGAAGAGAACATGGAAGTGCTCTACCTTTTTTCACGACACTATATGGCACACCAGTACAGGCCCTCATTTTGAAACGAGGACACATACCTGATTGTGATAATGCTGTGATTCCTTCAAGTACATGGTYAGACAGAGTCCAATACTCTAAAATTAGTRTAATTGCCTATGGCCKAGCAGCTTTCATTGCACTRTTAAAGAAGCAGCCCATGATCAGGRGTAGGGAAAGATTTCCTGGGTGAAACTACTGCTGCTTTAACCAATGCTGCAAAGTTAGAAAGAGTCTGACAATGCAATGTCAAGTTAACAGCTGGAACTGATCTTAGGGGTCTTTGCCAACCCAAACGATTGCATGATTCTCTGACCTACTCTAATTAAGAGAGATGTACCTACAATGACTTCTGAAATGAGATTTCTGCATCATCACAGTAGTGACTTCAGGTAGGAATATCTCCTGTATCTGGACCCAGACATCTTATCTGCAGTCTGCCCATCTAAAGAACTCACTGTACAGCAGCCCAGTTTGGGTCAAGTGTGACCTGCAGCAATGAGTTTTTTGTGCCTGGCCAGCTCAGTCTACTTAGCTCCTCCATGCAAAACAAGCTAATAATTACTGTATCTGTTTATACTACAAATTACTAATAAATGCAGTGATTCCGACTGTATGTTGATCTACAAATTACATGCAACTCTTTCAGTATATCCTGTGCAAAAAATAATAAAAAACCTGTTAGATTTAACACAACACAAAGCACAGTGCTGGCGCATTTATGAACACAGTTTTCCTTCTTCAGACCATATCACTAAAAGCTGGTAAGAATTTTCAATTCCAATTGAAGTCACTGAACACACAGAATCATCTTCAAATTTAAATKAGGATCTGTCAGTCAAAATGGAATWAATACCTTGAAAGAAAAAGAAATGTCATAATGCCCACAGCAAGGATTCTCCATCATTAGATCTAGTGCTCTTGCTCCTAGTTCACCAGCTGCATTAATAACATTTTTACTTCATATGTCTACCTAAATGGTATTTGAGAATTAGAACTCAAGAGCAGAGAGTTCACCCTCCTGTGAGTCTTCCTCAACTGCAATAGAAGTTCAGCTTTATTGCAAAGAGCTATGCAAAGAGCTTTGCAATAAAGCCCAAAGAGACAACTAGATTAAGCAGCCTGCATCACTCCTMAGGCAGGACTGACAGACTCTGTGAACTGACATAATTATTTCTTTCAGACTGACTAAATCTCTCTCAACTTTTAGTTCTTTTTCTACTTTACCATTGCCTGTGAGTCTTGAGATTCACTTAACAAGCTTTCTACTGCAATCATCTTCTCAGTCAGATCCATCATTATCTTTGTTGCTTTGGTACTTGAACATTTTGATTGGTCCAAAAAAGCCTGCTGGGCTTTGTCAGTCTGCTTCCAGAAAGCTTCCATCTGTGGAATATGGATCAAAAAACAACCGATGTTCCCTCATTAATCATCTGGTATTTCATTACAGAAAGAGGCATATAAGTCTACTGAGACACAAGTCACTGAGATTACAGACAGCTTTCAACATTAGTTACACTGAACAATTTGCAAAGCTAAAGAGACTATACTGGTGGTGGCACAGTAAGTCAAACCTAACCTTTTAAAATAAATGCTTTTATTGCTTTTAACTAGCTAAGAATCAGTTAGTTCTCTACATATTGCATCTATAAAAGCCTATTATGTTTTTAGTATTTATAGTAAAAAYATAAAAGAGATACTGCAGTCTTTTTATTCTGGAAAGCTTATTTAGCTGTAGGAAAAGGTATTCCAGTCAAACAACATTTTTACAAAAAAAAAAGAAAAACTGAAAATTATTACTATTTAGCACCATCAAAGACTTTCATAGCCAGATGCTACATAAGCATGTTATTGGCTGRAATTAAGTACTTTATGCAGTGTCAGCACAGTGTATGTGCCAATTCTGATAGWCTATTGTATGGAAAATCCCTAGTTTTAGGGATTTTAGGTTCTGATCCCACAAAGATGACTGTGCACTTCTGTGAATATTCTGTGGTCTATGGGATTACTCATACAAATAAAGGTACTAAAACGTACCCATCACCAAGAATTCTATTAAGTATCCGTGAGTTTTGGAAAAAGAGTAAATTATGGCATCTATAAGTATGGCAAAAACCCATTTATATTCTCAGGGGAGGACTGGATTATTTCAAGGTACCGATCTATACAAATTGCAAGGAGGGAAATTATTTTCARTGTGATGAAAAGCATCTGCAGGCACAGGAGTGACAGATGCACCGAAGGATGACTGCTGCTGGTGAATAACTSCCTCAAGTTGCTCAGCAAGGTTGCCAGCAATTCTTTTTACGGGACTAACTCTGGAAAACTCTACACAATCAATTTTCCACTGTGGGAAGTTAAAAGYGCAAAAGAAACTTTATACAGATGTACCAGTGTTACCAGGACTTCCACTATAATGTGAAGACTCAGAGAATCAAAAGAAAGCTGAGAAAATTCCCAGTGAAGCCCTTAAGCACCAGACATTAAAAATGTAAACTCCTGCATGAAAGAGGCCCAAGATTGAGAGGATGGGGTGTTTAGTCCACTGCTGAAGTGCCACAGTCAATCAGCACAGGCAGCTCACAGAGCTGTCCTTCTCTCATTTTCATCAGCAGTCAATTTGCTCCAATTTCAAAAACAGGACTGGGAAAAAAATCCCTCAGTTTCCTGAAAAATAGTACACAGAATGTTCTTAACCTCCAGTTTTCTAGCCTGAAAGCTATTCTGACACCATCTCTTTATTAGAGAAAAAAAAAACCTTTGAAAATCAAATGCCTGCTATCAAACTGTACTTTTACACCAAAAAATGTAAATATTTTATCAAGTGGAAAGTTGCTAAAAAATTCTCTGCTAAAGTTAAATGCACAAAACATACTAAATCATTGCCCAGTAACTGTATTTTTAGTACTTCTTTCAGCTGAAAAAAAATTGTAGTCTCTTATTACACYCATACTCAGTTACAGGGATTGACAAAAGCAAGGTGCTAGGATAAAATTCCTAAAAGTCAGGCTATACATTGGCTTGAAACAAATCTTACCACCAGATAAGCAGCAGACATTTCTCAGCTGACAAAACAGTAGTGTTTTACAAAACACAAAAAAAGCTTCATCCATAAAAAACCTATTGGCACCCAAAGGCAGCTGGAAACACTTTGCTGAACCAGTGTAAAAATGTTTTCAGGACTTGTACACATATAAAATACTAACTGTGGACAAAYCAACAAAACCATTGCACAAAACAACTCCCCACCAAAAGAATAACATTAAAATAAAATTGTAGAAAAAAATAGAAAGTTACATTATCTATCACGTGCTCAGAATATTCCCTTTCCTTCCTTTCTAGGTCTTCTAGAGTCTGGTACTCTGAATTATGGGCTCCTGACATTTCWGTATTCTGGAGTCTGGAGTCAAGTTGTTTCTGTAATTCTTCAAAATCCTGGGGAAAAAAATCAAGTGATTCATTAAACAGAAGAACAAACGTAACTTCTAAAGTCGGGAGTGAATTTGTATGTCAGTTCTGGCTTATGGCTAAGGAAGCTGAACAGGAGTGTTCAGAAAGTTCTGTCTCTTGGTAATGTGCCTTCTGTAGTAAGCAAGGAAATCTCCAGATATACAGCAGCTCTGAACTAAACTTAATACAAATACATATATTTCCACCAGGATGTGAGTACAATCAAAGCCGTTGTCCATCTCTGCTGCATTCAAGTTTTAGTAAACACTGCTTCATGAGCTTTCATACTAATAAYCCTGGAATCTATCTACAAATAATATTTTTATTTTAATGCATGTGYCCCATCTTAAATGGTGGCTATGAGTGCACATGCTTTGTTTAAAAGTTCAGGTAAGAATCCAGGTGATAATCAGTGAYTCCTGCAGAGTGCTGGCACACATGGATGAACATACCTGTAATGCTCCTAAGGGATAAAGTGTAGGCTGCATGCTTATATGAGGTTTTACCGTTTGTCTTAGAAAAAGTCCTTATAAACCAGGGTGATTTTTTCCTGAAAGCTGATGTTGCTGACAAATACTAGTCTGGTGCCATTGCTTAGTAGGTTGATACCTAAAAGGGTGATTCTTCCATCACTGCAACATGCCTTATATAGCAAGCATTGACTTCCAATACCACCCACTTCTTGGTGTCAATGTATTAGCTTGATACCCTTACGCCTCAAAGAAATGTAACCAGAGTTTGACAAGCTTCCCAAACAATTTCATCAAAATCCCATATTTTTTTATGATGCAGAATTAAAACAGGAAAACACTGTTTGCAATAAAACAATGTAACACTGTTGCTTATTGCCAACACCTCTTTTACAGTGTGGTCATAACCAGCTTCATTCCTTGTATATCCCCCCTCTAAGACTGTCAGATTTACAAGGTCTTTCACGTCATCATATAAGACACGGACACCCCATATTGGCACTGAAACAACTGGACTACTCTTTCAATTATTAGATCTAATAATACAGATTTCATCTCTGTCTTGCAGCCTCTTAGGTGCATGAAGACACCAATGCCTTCAAACTTCACTGAGGGTTAGACTCTATCAGGAAACATGCCTATTGCAGCTTAGCTCTGTTTATAATTTGAAGTCATTACCAGAAGCCCACCAGTAAAAAGATTTTGCACACCTAATTTCACTTTTTATCTAGTAAATACAATAAGATTTAATACTAAACCTGAGGATTTAAGGCAGAAGAGTGCTTTATGGAAAATGCATTTGGATAAAAATCACAGGGTACAATTACAGAGAYTCCTTATAATAATTCACAGATTGTGAGACAGCACAAAGTCAACAACTAGAGCTCACAAGCTGTTAGACTGATGCCTAAATGTGAAATTCCATACATATGTAAGAAAAAAATAATTGGTACTGTGATTAGGTTGCTCTCAGTCCAAACACTGGATTGGATCAGGGCTGGATCAGCTCACATAAAGTCAAACTTCCTAAAGGAGGCTGGACCAGATGATTTCGAGATGTGCTTTTCAATCCAGTTTTTTCTGTGACTGGAAACTGGAAAGTGGAACCAATAGCTGTTCTATTTTCTATAGTTTTGTAGAGTTTTTTTTTCCTTCTAACAACATTAAAAATAGTACTGTGACTCCAACTGAAATGCATATTGACTGCAAATGTGTGTCTTCCAGTTCAGAAATGGCATATGGACTTTGATACAAGTGCATGAAAGAAAAAAGGATGATGAGGAAAATTAGTATATTTTCCCCTGATGAAAGCCTTGAGCTTCAYACTGCTACTTTATTTCCTGCTATTTTATTATCAGCAATGATACATGGGACCAAACAAAGCTCCTGATAATTAGAAATTATTACATTTGAGTGAACAGGATTCAAAATGTTCTGTTTGCTTAAATGGATTCAACTACAAAGTACTTTTTCTTTAACAGATTACACAGTTCACTTCATACAACAACGAAGAGGAAAAGCATACAAGGTAATGGAGAAAGATTRTAACAAGAGAGTTTCTTTGCATTTCTTCAGAAACAGATTACAAATGACATTGATATTTAAAAGGAGTAGSTGAAATGGCCTGCTGTGGTAGTAAGATTAACTGTTATTTTGTGTGGCTGTAAATATTAACCAACAAACCCACTTACATTTTCCTGATTTAAAAGGAACTGCTTCAACAAATCATCAGTAATCTTCTTTTTACSATGTAAGTCTGTGAGGTATATTTTGAAAACCTGGATAAACATCTGTTTAAAAGGAAGCAAACAAAACACAGTTAAGTGCCTGATTGTCATTGTAACGACATCTCTGTGATAGCTTTTGCTGATTTAAATCRATCAGGGACATTACAGTGAATCATAAGTGAAGTACATCAMCAGCAACTCTCTAGTACTACCACWATGAAAAATTCTTTGTTCTGGCTTYAGTAMGATACTGGAAGATGGTGTTACACTYTAACAAAGGCAAGGAYATAATCTCAYAYATCCTTKTAACCAGACAGACACATTTGARACTAYTCTTGACTRGACAAATTGCAGATCACTTGAAAAYACAAAGCCCATTTTTCTAAAGTTTAATGAAGCCCTAAACTGGAAGATACTAACTATTCAAAATATACTAAAGACTCATTATTCTGACTTCAACTGTAGTCAGCCACATGATACGTCAAACATTTTTATACACAACTSGAAAGCAACCATCTCAAACTCTAGCTAGCTTTTCTTGCAAGAAAAATACTTATTTTGCAGTTGTGTGCTTTTTTTTCTGTTTAAGACTGTGTGTCTTCCAAAAGATGTTTTTGAACTTTTTTAACACTAGRAAAACTTTGGCTTAACCTTTTCCCCTCTTGCCTCAATTAGAGTTTCAGTGTAAGGTTAATTCACTTCATTTCTAAATGCTGCAACATTTTCCAGTGTGGRAATAAAAATACGTGAAACTTAACAGCCATCTGCCTGTTACTCATAATCTTGAAAACAAGATGATGCAGAACTTGCCTGCTTAAAACATGTAAGAACATGAATAAATACGTATTTACATATAAAAACAGTTATTGAAGGCAACATGTCAGCTGAGCTAAATCTGGAAAATTTATTATAATCAGAGCTCAGTAGAAGAGAAAACCATAAAGCAGTCATGTTTTAGATCTCACTTGCAAATGTTTTGGATASGAGTTTGACAAGTTTTGAACACACTACCAAGATACCATATACTGTAAAAGAGGAAAAAAGGGTTCAGGAGAAGATTGAAAGGAAATAATATATTTCCTTAGACCTGATGCTAAAAAACACTGAAATCAGAGAAAGTAGAGTGGGACAGGAAGAAACTATTCTCAGACTGATTTATTTTCCCCCCTTTGTTCCTTCTAGCAAAAATATTAAGCTATTTAAATATTCARCTAAAGGCCAAAGCCATTTGTARTRATRWCTGGTGARYCAYGAAGTGTGTTAAGCTCATTTTCTCYGTGTTTCTGTGATTACGTCACTATGTTGCTACTTACCTTCATTTAGAAACTGATGATTAACTTTGAGATCAAGTTCAACCTAAAATAATCAAGCTAAACTTCCTTCCAGAATCTGATCATAAATTCCCTTTCTCATCTAATTAGATGGGGATAATCCAGAAGATGASAAACTGCTTCCCAGGTTTACTTTCCTGTTTCTTTCYTTGGRTGTGTGMAAAATGTCTTCAGAAAATCTCACCMTTTGAACTATTCTCAGTGGATTTAATAAATTGTAACAGAAATGACCAATTTGTTTAAACAGAGCCCAAGAAAAGAGGGGAGGAGAAAACTATAGATTTTATGTCCAAATTTGTATTAACTGAGCTAAAACTCAGCAGCAGAAATGATGCTGATGAAATGATGAAATGACCTGATCATAACTAGCCACCATAAAAAAATGTTACTGAGTATCCTGTGGCCGTAATTGTACATTTCTGAGGGTTTTTCTTTTTTCCTTGTCAGTTTTGGACATGACTTGATGTAGGTAGTTATCTATGGTTTAAATGGTACCTTAATTCCTCAGTCCTACAAAATCACAACAATTATCACAACGGTACTGATTCAGGTGAACTGAATTTTCAATTTTATTCCAAAAGCCTGAAGTCTTTGGAGTTGCAACACAAAAACAAGAAAGTTTGTCCTTAAGACAAACTCATCTATTAAATAATTAATTTATTACCTCTTATTATGAGCCTCAAGTGCTGTATGTTATTCTCTGGAGTATGTTTAAAACCAAATTTTTGTATTTCCTATATTGATATTTCACAGACCAGTATACTTCACTAYATTTTATTTCTTTATGAAACTCATATATATGCAGAACAGGAGAAAACAAATAGAGACAGCAATGTAGAAATGCAACTCTGCCACACTACATCCCAGCTAGACAGCTGTTTATTATTTCCTAAACTGATATTCAATTAGGATGTTCAAAACAATGAGCTGCAAATGAGATATAAGTACCTACCACATGTTTTTCTTTCCTGAGTTCAGTATCAAGAAGCATGAGATCTTTTAAAATAAGACTGCAAAGGCAGAGCTTAACATCAAAACTAAAACAAAGATTAAAAGTGCGTTAACAATCTAYATGATGGTTACATAAAAGGACAACACAATATTTCATTTAACAACTAAATTTTCCTAAAAACACCGCCCCAAAACAGAAGTGAAGTCACTTTATTTCYACATTGTCTTCTTTTCCAGGAAAGATTACTGTATGTAAAAAGTAAACAAAACCAAGTCATGCTTTTAATAAAGTTGGTGTTGCAGTTTCCTCTAGARAGAGACAAGGTGAACATAGACATGAGTGGATACAGCAAGGCAAAACATGGCTTTAAATTAAAACCGCCATAATTAGAGTGGATATTTTGTAAATCTTCCTTGCTAGTACCTTTCCCAATCCCCATGAAACAAATATGATTTTCTTATTCATGCTAATGAGAGTATGGACACATGTATTCATCTAGGGGTATCTGACTGTGGTGCAGCTAAAAGATAATCAGAGCTGTCAGTCCATTTCAATTATCTCTGCAGGCAGTATGTCTGAGAGAGGAACTGTTTTCCCACAGAAAGACATGAGAGGCACCCATTAAAATGAAGGGAACAGACTACTGGGTGTTCTCAAGGCACCTGCAGCGTGACATGGCATTGCACAGTGCAGAGTGGAGTGCAGAAGACTCTGTCTCCAGCCAAGCACTGAGCATATGAACCATAACAAAAAGATCTCCTTATCCTAACAGTGATGCACCTTTTATAAGACAGCTTTTGCCCAAGTTTTGATCCCCAAAATTTCACAAAGAACAGGGTGTCTTCCAACAGCTTAATATATTAAYCTCCCCAACAATGCTTTTAGGGTTATAAGCAGATAACCCTGTCCTGATGTGGTGACTGTGTGCATTCCTTCTCCTTGAATGACTGTCTTGAAAACCTAGGAAATGACCAAAAACAAGGATAACTTTACTGCTTACCTTTCACATGTCAGCACCTCAGGGAAGCTGATCACCTTTAGGAAGGCTCGAGCCTGAAATCTGTCGTCGCTTGTTGTGGAATGTATTGTTGTGGAGGAACTACAGTCCTCTTTGTCTCCCTGGCTCAGGGATCCCAGGCTGCCTGACATAGATGTCTCCACCACTTGATTAGGCAGAACTGCCTGCTTTGGATTCTCATGCAAAGATGGATTGGATGAGCCATCTGCCAAAGGCTGTAAGTCAAAGAAAATTCACAAGGTCAATTAATACAACACAATAAGGAAACAAATATCTCATCAATTTTCAGTGTTTACTTTCAAGGAAGAAGTTATACAGTATACACAGCAAGTGTTTCCATATAAATGACAGGCTTTTGCATTGCCCAGCAAAGTAYTCTTCTGTTTCAGTTAGCTGCTTGGTGCATGCTTTCTTTCCTCCTTTAGATCCTTGAGGTATTTTTCTTATGGCTCCTTATATAGATCCAACTTTCACTAATGTTAAGGGGCAGACAAGCTCTCTTAAACACAGTGAAAATTGACTGGACACCATGCAAAGCATTGCAGGTTTCAGGGGGAGCTGAAAACAGTTGATGCCTTACAGAATAAGCCCTGAGTATATGGACTACAAAAAAAGAAAGATCCCGATTAAGCAGACTAGCAATACATTTTCTTCCATCACTTGACTTGACAATTTACTCTGACACAGAATGATTGTCATTAATTTTTACAAGAAAAATGTAAAACCTTACCCTAAATTTCTGGTTGATGGGATAGACCACTTTTGCCTTTAATGCAAATGCTGTGATGTTACTGCTCAGAGGAGACTCACTTTCCTGYATGAAAAAGAACAGAAAACCATTTGGGAACAGTAGCAGAGCTGGCAAGTATTCATTCTAAGTATGTGTGCCMTTTTTTTGTTACACAAAACAAAGTTTTATGTAACAAATGTTACTCTTGATAACTAACTGCTTATTGATTGTCTCTGCTTTGGTGCAAGAAGTCTTCTCATAWGGCTCATTCAGAGCAGGAAAACCTGAAAAGAGAACTTTTGTCATTACTACTGCCACAAAATGTTTTTAATCCTCCAGGAGAAAATAGGCAACATTGGGTTTTTGCAAAGTATTTTCATTTTGTGTCTTGTCATCCACTTCCCTACCCTTAACAACAACTAAAGATTTTACCTGAGACTGTAATCATCTTATTAACAGAAACAACTAAAGGATGATAAGCTCCATAGATAACACCATGGCTATAAATTCTGTCTTTAAATAAGAAACAATAAATTAAGCAAAACTAGATGCTGTTTTTTGTTTTTGTTTGTTTTTCCAGGAAGAACTTTTATAATACAACCCTTACCCAAAATCCAGAGAAAATAACAATGTTTTTCCAAAGAACTTTTAATAGATAATGGATCTTTTTAATGCAATTTACTGTATCACGTAATCCGACTTTCTACTACTGCTGTTTCCCAGATGCTGGAAAAATGGGATCATCAGCTTTGTTTTGARAATTTAAGTAYGGCTTAATAAAAATTTGGCTATAAWCAGCAGATAAAATGTGTAAATCTGAGCACCAGGATTTCCCATTTTATCTGTTTCAGTTTTGTCAAATACAATGAAAGACTTAGATTTGTCAAAACACAGGGATTTTTAATACAGCTTTTTTCTACAAAATATCAAAGCACTAATACTATTTCTACAAAATATCAAAGCACAATACTAAGAAATTGAAAGAGAAGAGCAAACTGTGTAATTCATTAGACTGCTATCATTGCACTTTTTCATCTCCATTTCACTTACTTCCATTTTTTGGTTTACTGATGAAGTTAAAAGCATGGGGGCAGCAAGGTAAACACTTGCCCATAGTGAGCAGTCCCAGTGCTGCAGTGCTCCCTCATCAGGGGCAGGAGGGGACAGAGCCATTGCTCTGCAGTGGCTGAAGGCAGAGCAGCCAGCCCAGAGCTGGAAAGTTGYATTGCAGTGTGCTAGAACTGATACATCCTGCTTCTCAGCAGGCATGAGGCACAATTATTATTAACAAAGTAATTATGGTATTAGTGCAATGTGGAAAGTCTCAGAATGAAAATACCTGTTTTTCTGAAGTGCTCTAACCTAATTAAAAGCATTTTCCATTTATGCTTCTTCATAAACTGCCAATTTGATTCTAGTAACAGCAAAAGCCTTTGGAAATCAGAGCAAATTAAAARAAAAWATATATACATGTAACTTCAGTAGTTAGACAAACAGGTGGGACAAAGTCCCCTCAAATAACAAGGTTACTTCTTAATGTCTTATAAATGAGCCATGCTTGGGCAGTGAATATAGTYGTGAATGATCACCTTTAAAAGACTGTGATCCCATTTCAAAARCACAGGTAATATGCATAAAGATGTAAAAGTGTGTAGGTTCTCTTACAGGATTTASACATCAATATATAACTTAATCCATGCTCATTTGTTATACTCTACTTCAACTCAAGCAATATAACCGAGCATGTTTTGTCACTGTTCCTGATCACAGAACTGCAATGAAGATTCATTACCAACAGTTTAAATGTTAACAATACCATTTTCTTGAAATCCTGCAATCAGCTATTGTTACAAGCTCAGCACCATAGTGGTTGGTTTTGACTGACATTTTATGTATGTATTTATGTATAATTTAATGAGTCAGCTGAACTCCACATTTTTAAATGTGCAGTTTAAATCACAATCTTTAGCTTCATCAAGGGCACTCAAACCAGCTTTGGGTGAAAGGCAGTGACTTACTGATTACCCAGTAGGACTGGTTCTCCAGTTATTTTGGACTATTACAAAAAATAGTTACTTAAGTCACTCTGTTTTCATTGAGGGTGGGTTAAGTTCTGTCTCTAATTGTGCTTGAATCCTAACTCACCACAGTGGTCTTCCAATACTTACAAACTTTTTCTTATGTCAATAGTGTAAATTTATCCCATCAGCCTTTTGAAACTAAGCACAGATGAAAGCAAAGCCTCTGTCCAAAAAGAACTCAGGATCTTGATTAAAATATCCAAAGAGTCCCCCAAGTGAAATGGAATTCTTAAGGRGAATGAGTGCTCAAAATGGTTTCATTCATAAACAGCAATCAGCTCCTGCTCTCCATCTTACACTTTTGCTGAACACTTTTTAAAGTCTCTCCCCAAACCCACTCAAGACAATTTGGAGCAGCCCGGAACACGATCATTGCTACTTGCAACAAAAAGGACATCCACCTACAACAGCAGAGCTTTACCTCCAGCACCATTTCCTCTTTTGATGCATAGAGGTCTGCTTTACTTTTCATGAGCGGGTGCTCTTTTTCGTCCGGGTTGAAGTTTTCCAGAAGTCTTTGGGAATCATCTTTCTGAAATTCCAAGAGATAACATAAAATGTAACACTTGAAATCATGCAAATTAACTGGAAACATCTTTGACAGCAGCCTGAATACATTCATGTCTCCATCATGAAAATTATTCCAGTATTAGTTGAAAATTTTGSAAAAATACAATCTGAAAATGAATGAAAACTTTACATACTGAGAAAAGAATAATTAAAATTAATGAACTTTTAAAACTTGTCATTCCAGAAGTAGAATTTTAATCTAAAAAGTTTTAAGAGGCTGTGAACATGTCAAATCAACCCATCTGCTCTCAAAATGACTTACTACAGACTATGGAGTCAACTGCAAACTCCTGGKCTGAACTCAAACATCTTCAATTAGAGCAAGTTAACTAAAATTGCCTATAATTGCCAGCAATAAAGAGAAAGCCAAGTATTTTTGCTCTCCTGCTACRAGAAAAACTTCCTAAATGAAGCTTCAAGTGTGTTAAAATTCCTGTCAGGAAGAAGTAACTACGAGAAAATGTTCATCAACTTYGTTCCCCAAAAGCAGTTCATATTATTGACCTCACTTCCCAAACACAAAAAGCCACTAGTAGGGATATAGACTGTGTGGGAATGAAACCTCTAGTACAAATGATCTTCCCTACACATTCTRTAGTTCAGAAAACAATAGGAATGTGCCTCCAAGCATGGCATTGGAAGAATTTAYTTTTTTTCTTTTGTGAAGGAAAAGATGGCCACCATGCYACATTTACTTTTTAAATTCTTTTTCGGGTTTTCAATCCACTGACAACTTTTTGGTGTAGTCTAATGATACAGCTGCACCCACCATGCATGCCACTGTCCTATGGAAAGGTCCACCTTGAATTATTTGGCCACTTGCTATGTAAAGCAGTCCATTATCCCAGAATATGGAGAACAGCCCAGCCTTTGAATACGTTTAATTCCTTATGACTTGCTTCTGTCACTTCTCTGGAATTTAGATTGTGCAGTAATTCAGATATTATTGGGTTAGCCTTTAAGATGTGAAGTGCAGATGCTGGTTCCTAACAATCTACTTATGACAAAAGAACAGTTACAAATCTCCCTCAACAATCTTGTTACATCTTGTTACTTATTAGTTACCCACAAAGATTTCTTCTTAAAACTATCCAAGTTTCATATGTACAGATCAACAAACCAATGWGGAACTTAACTCCATGCATCCAAGTCCAACAGATTTAGAGATCTATAAAATAATGATTCATTGGGGCCGAATGACAAATGCTGTTGGCTAATTATGGTGCTTAAAGCTGCTTTAGACGCCAGGTACTTGCCCTGCTCTCACTCTAACGATAACTTAGTTGCTTGAAATGGAACATGGTATACTCAGGAAAGCTATCCCTGCTTTCATGTTGGACACAGAAGGCTGCAGTAGGTGCAGTTCACCACCTGCTTGCTCCATAGCATCCATGAGGAAGACATTGGGAAGAAGGAACAGTCTAAGGCTACCCTGTTTGATTTGGGAAATCAGAGCCATAAGATACCACCTGCCCACCCTGCAATGACCTCTGTATGCACCAGAAAGCAATGTTTTTGCTTTCAAAATAAATAACGCCTTTACGCCAGCAGTATTGATTTTAATGGCATTTAAACCTCTAAATGTATCTGAAGATCCAGGCCAGAGAGAACTGACAGWTTCTATTCCCTATTGACATTTATGACATAAAGGATAAAATTGTTCATGGCTACGTTTGAGTTGGTACTGGCAGTACAATAAAGATAGACCTATTAAGGCAGGGAAAATGAGCAAYTGAATCAGAAAGGCTTGTACTTGCCCAGGATGCATTGATCCAGSATTTGAAGTGCCTCCATTACTAGGCTAAAATCTGGCTTCAAACAGAGTTTCAATCCTCCAACTTAAAAGCAGCTGGGAGCAAGAGAATTTGTCTCCTATGTCATGTTTAATGACGATCGACACTAGCAGATACACACACACAGCAGAGCTGTTACAGCTCAAAAGGGGTGTGCGGAAAACCCAAGCCAGACCAGACCCCCCACTTGCAGGCTGGCAGAACCCTGCAGGGCTTCAGATTCCCCAGCTGCGCCAGCACCAACCACTGCTAMATCCAGTCAATCCAGCATGACCTGGGACTAAATGCAGTGGGGGAAAGAAGCATGGATCAATAATAATTATCAGAAAATATCTCTGCCTGGTAGTGCTTTCTGTGGGTGTGTGCTGCCTCTCCAACCTTTCAGTGCCAACAAGCACTATGTAATAAAGACATACGAACCATCCACCACAGTACCTAAAGCAGAATGGCAAGTGTGTTATTAACAAAATCACACACTTTAGAAAACACTGTTAGCTTGGCATCAAGCAAACCGTCAGCTGTGCTCAGGCTCCTTTATTTCTTCGGTATCCATGTGTGCACCCTCAGAGCAAAGTTATTGCTGGAGCTTAGTACTAATACTCTGCGCTGAGTGTAAAATGAACCTTGGAGAAATCTGTAAAATACTTTCGAAATAAGATTACTGGTTTAGGGTGGAAATCTGTGTTTATTTTCAATTATCTCACAAASCTTCTGCAAACCGGGTACATCTGCCATTATCGCCAAAAGCAACACAGCGTCGCGCACGAAGCGCGGTGGTTGCGAGAAGCAACTTTTAGGGCCCCAGTGTTACAGACGAGGGCCGGCGGGGCAACACTCAGAACGCATAAACACTTACACAGGCCTCCTTTTCGAGCCAACCCGTTTGTTTCAGCAACTACTTAAAGGAAGTAGTGAAATCCTTTCTAGCGGAGGTGTGGCTGGAATTACGGGGCTCCGCACCTACCCCCCTTGCAGAGCGCWCGCCGCCGTGCCGCTCGCCCCGGGCTGTCCCGTGCAGCGGGCAGAGGCGGCTGGCAGCACCTCCCGAGCCCTCCGCCCTTCAAACCTTCGCAAAGCACTCCCGGTCCCCCGAGCTGCTCTCCCGAGGCCGGCCCGCGCCTCCCTCCCGCCGGCCCCGCGTACCTCTCCGCCCCGGCGCGGCCCGAGCGCGCAGCGGCAGAGCAGRGCGGCGGCGGCGGCGCCCAGCAACAGCCCCAGCAGCACGGCGGGGGCCAGCAGGGCGGGCAGCGCCTGCAGCGAGTCCGCCCAGAACTGCAGCCCCACGGCTCGCAGGCAGTGCCCGACGGCCGCCATAGCAGCGGGCCGGGCCCGCGCAGGGAGAGGGCAGGGCATGGGGGGAGGTCCCGCTGCTCGGGGGGCCTCCGTTCCCCGCCCTCGCTGCGGTGGGAGGAGACCGATGGCGGATGGATGCGGCGGCTGAGGCCCGGCCTGATTTGGGGCAGCGCTTGGAAAGTCTCCGYGGTGCCGTCCGCACCCGCGGAGGGTCCGCCTGCCGCCATGCGGTGGCCGCTGGCCGGGCTGCTGCTGGCGCTGCTCCCCGGCGGCCCTTCCGCGCCCGCCCAGCCCCTCACCGCGGCCACCGAGCAGGGCCCGCCCCGGGAGCCCTGCGGTCGGACGGCGGCTGGGGTAAGCGCTGTGCCCGCCGTGTGCCCGCGCTGTGCCCGCCGTGTGCCCGCGCTGTGCCCGCGCTGTGCCCGCCGTGTGCGGGTGGGGGGCGGCATCTCAGCGCGGCCGATGGCGGGCTCAGGGCAGGCGCTCGGGAGCGGGGCCCGGCGGAGCAGCGGCCGCTTCCCAGGCACCGGAGCTGAGGGCAGTCCCGAAAAGCTGMCGGGGATCGGCGTGGCGAGGAAGCCAAAAGGTTCTGGACAGGGTCCTCAGTGCGAAAAAGATAAGGAAATATTGGAGAGGGTCCAGCAAAGGGCCACGAAAGTGATGAWGGGTGTGGGGCATCTCTCTTAKGAGAGACTGCGGGAGCTGGGCCTGTTTAGAGGAGCGAAGGCTGAGAAAGGGATCTCAATATTACTTTAGTAAATATCTCAAAGGTGGGTGTCAAGAGAATGGGTCTGACTCTTTCCAGTAGTACCCAGTGACAACACAAGGAGCAATGGCCATTAAGTAAGACAAAAGAAGTTCTGTCTCAACATGAAGAACTTTTTTGCCTTGAATGTATCAGAGCATGGGAACAGCTGCCCCGGGARGTTGTGGAGTCTCCTTCTYTGGAGRCATTCGAAACCCACCTGGAGGTGTTCCTGTGYCACCTGCTCCGGGTGACCCTGSCTCARCTTRTGTATAAGAATTGTGGAGAGCAGGAAGAGCTGTACAACAAGATATTTAGAAATAGCTTCTAGTGAAGAGCTCGGTACCCAGGATCTCCCAGAGCTGCTCAGAGTGGGCTGCATGTATATGCAAATGTTGCTTTCTTAATCCCTTCTTGGTCCTCTGAGAGAGTTGCTTCCAATCCTGCATGTATAGACATGTTTTCTAGAGGCTCCTTAAACCCCAGGGCTCGTGATACATCTGAATTTGTGAGATATCTTGCATTTTCTGTTCTGTGGAGGGAAAGTGCCCTGTCTGAAGTGAAAAATATTTTCATATGAGGGTAACTAAAGTTACAGCTCCAGCAATAATCAGTGATGGCTTCCCTGAGCAGGCAAAGAAGAAAATTGCCTTTAACATGCTGTACTGTAACAGTGGTGTTGACATAAGTCAGTACTTGGCATTACTCACACGCAGTGCTTGGTAGCAAACAGAAACAGCAAGTGTGGGTCATGTCACTAGGCAGTAGATCCCTGTTAATTAGCCCACATTGCTAACTCCGTTAGCTCCTGCAAGGAAGCATTTTTGATAAATAAAAACTTGCTTGTATGACTACTACATCTTGATCAAAACACTGGGCCATAAAAATCTTTGAAAACACTGGTTTCTTTTACTGATGTTTTGAGCTRTGATTACTGTAGCAGTCTCTGCAGTCCAGATATGAGCAGGAGGCTGTCACAGATTCCCTTGCAAGCTTCAGTTTTGGCATGTGGCCGCTCTGAAAGACTCTTTTTAGTTCTCCAGAGGAAAAATAAATGTAATGTCAGTGGACTTGATCATCTAATACAGACACTTTCCTGCTGCCTCCTAATGATCAGATTTCCCTGCATCCTCAAATATGCCTTTGAAAATGGCACAGAAAGATTATTTAATGAAAGCAAACTAATAGCCAGTCCAGSTCCACTATTGTGCAGAGACTCAGCCTGATAATATGAAGTGTAAGTTCCATTTGATCCCCAAGTGTCTATATCCACAGTGGGCAGCAGAGCTTCATACTGCTTAACAAGCTGTGGGAGACCTCTAGAGCCATGTTCTGTCTCTTCTGGTAGTTAATTTTGGGGGAACCTGAGGCTTTGTGAGCTAGGATTCTGTGTTACTGAGAAGCATAAATTCAGCATAAAGTTCAATAATAGACATTTATGAAAACAGTTATTTTTTATGATTGCTCTCTTCTAGGTTTTTGAAGATGATCTTTGGCTTCAGAAAGAGATGGGGTGCCTAGGAATGGCAGGTATGCAACTGTTTCCTTTCTCTTCTCTGCATTGTGAGAATCCCAGGACATGGGTGTGAAGGTGAGCAGGGGCCTGGAACTGTGCTCTGGTGGGGCTGCTGACATCAGTGGGACTCTCAGTCATGAGCCAAAGGGGAGTATTTGCACAGCAGTTAGGAACAAGGGTGCTTTAGGTTCCCTGAAGGGCTCATCTAGAAGGAAGCCCTTATGAGAAGASCTCAGTTCATACCCTGCTCTGAATCATTTTCAGGAGGAGCCCTTTTCAGTATTAAACAATGATGTAGGGGAACATTCTCTGATGTCCAGAGCTCCCAATTTTGTGAAAAACCCATATTAATTAAAGCTGATCWAGACCTTGTTCATTTTCATAAGCTAGCTTAACCCCTGTGCATTTGCCAACACTGTTGCAATATCTACTCTTGAAGCTATTTTTAAAGATCTCAGCAATTACAATAGTTAATAACACCTTGTCTTGGAACAAAGACTGTCAAAGACTGTTAGATGTAGTGGGTTAAAGACTGACAGATACAGTGGGCCTAGCACTGTTAGTGGGGTGATTGTGCTCTTTACAGCAGATATCAAGTATTCTTGTCAGTGATCTCAGGTACAGTGAACATCTCCAGTGGTAGTTGCCTAATCTGTTGAAAACAAGGTACCCTGATACTTAGAGAAGTCCCTTAGAGCTTGGAGTAGCAGCATCTGARGGCTGACTGCCACAGGCTCTTTATGTAAATTGAGCAATTCACTTAGTTTCTCTGAGTCTCTGGTCTTTAGTTTCTGTATGTGTATTATAAATAGTGTTCTACTTCACCCAGATGTGGTGATGAGTATATCCTGAAAGGTTTGGACTTACATAGCTCRTTAACAGAGCAACACAGTTTGTGAAATAAACCTCTCCATCTCTATCGTTCCCCAAGAGATGATTTGGCATCTGCCAAGARATTGCATGCTTTGAAGCAGTCATCTAGTGAGATACCTCTAATTTCTTTACCCGGTGCCATGGCTCATTCACAAATGAGTTTATTAATTTAAATATGAAAGCAAGTAATTCAGATTTGCTGAGCTTGTTTTTTCTCAGTATTTATTCAGTGTCATCTTTGCTGTGTGTGCATCTTGCTTTCTGATGGGTTGCAAATTATTAATGTACCATCCACTAAGAGAGGAAATTAGTTCCGTTTTATACTTAAGAAGAACCTTCTGGTGCTGAAAAAAGTGGAGGATTTTGACAGGCATTATGTTTTTGTTAGTGGTTAAAATAGTGTGGCCAGCAGGATGAGAGAAGTGGTGTTGCTTTGAACTAGATACTGGGGAGACTACACCTCAAATCTTGTCTTCAGTTGGCTCCTCACAAGAAAGACATTGAGGTGCTGGAGCGTGTCCAGAGGAAGGCAACAAAGCTGGTGAAGGGACTGGAGAATGAGTCTTATGAGGAGCAGCTGAGAGAGCTGGGGTTAATTAACCTGGAGAGAAGGAGCCTCAGGGGGATGTTRTCACTCTGTACAGCTACCTGAACGGAGTTGTAGTAAAGTGGGGGTCAGCCTCTTCTCTCTGGTAACAGGATGAAACAAAATGGCCTCAGGTTCTGCCAGAGGAGATTTAGTTTAGATATTAGGTCAAATGTCTTCATGGAAAGGGGTATTAAGCATTGGAAAAGTCTTTCCAGGGAGGTGGTTGAGTCACCATGCTGTCCCCAGAGGTATTTAAAAGATGTGTACTTAGAGAGATGGTTTAGTGGTGGTCTACTGCTGGGTTTGAAGCTGGTCTTGAGAATCTTTTCCAACCTCAATTATTCTGATTCTGTGAAATTCTGGTATTTTTTAGTAGGTAAATAGTTGTGTTAAATGAGGTATTGCTACAAGCACTGAATTATATGCTTGATTTTATAACTGACAATTGTCCCATTCTAGTAAACATMAATTTTTAGTGTATTTAAAACTAAAATTTTAGTGATTTGCCTAATCAGAGTACTAGACTCTTTAGTKCTTAGTGAAGAAGTTCCGGATGAAAACAGAGAGATGAGAACTTCTGCATAAAACCTTTGTCATTGAGACTGGCAGTGTGCTGAAGTGTGAAATGGTTTGTGACAGTACRCTGATCTCAGTGTTTCTGTTGGAAACTTTTTGGAGTTGTTTCTGCATAAGATGAGAAAAGACAACCCCAGAATATTCCTGTGGCTGGGAAACACGGTGGATTTTTGAGAGTTGTATTTGAGTCTGCTCTGACTTMCTCAAAACAGGCCTGGAAAGCAGATTTGTTTTTTTTTTCTTGTTGATGCCCATAGTTTCTTTGACATTGTAACAAGAAAAGCTAATGCAACATTCAAAACTGAATACCGTAAATTGCTACCTGTGCCTGTTCATTGTTGTGTGTAATTGAAAGGACTTCAAATTGGATCTTATATCCTGGATGGTTTTCAAGACAGGTAGTAATTTAGAATAACAACAAAAATATAGCAAGTGAGTATACTTAACTCCTTCCCCACTGAAACAAAGCAAGATGTTCAAAGCTTTGCTGATAAATTAATGGTGRGTAAGCAAATGAGACTGTGGAATCTGAATTGAAATATTCAGCCCTTGAGAGCCATAAATTAGAATTAATGCTCTCATTTTTAATTCTGAATTTGAAATTTCACAAACTTGTCAKAGTCCTTCCTTTCCTACTGTAATTTGCCATTCTACTGCTTAGTATGGGCTGTGAYGGTACAGGAACCTTAAGGACATACTGGAGTATTTGATGCAAACCTATTGTAARACTATTTTAA